TATCTATAATAGGAAAAAAGTTATGACCTTTCAAAGTTTTCCAAAATCTAAATCATAAGGTAGGTACCTTCTTACTAAAATGATGAAATTTCAAAATTTTTTTTGCCGAGATTTTGTATCCTGATGGTCAACCAACATACCCCAAACTCCATAGACTAAATTATTCTCAGATTTGAAGCCGAAATCTATGAAAAAAGGCACTCAGAAAAATTGAAAAATTGAAAAATCACCCCAAATTGCTTAACACGATTTTATCTCAGGAACTATAAGTGCAAATGAGCTGAATTTTTCAGGGATTGTAGTCCTTTGAAAATGATGACATTCAGTGAAAGATTCAGCTTTCTATCTATAATAGAAAAAAAGTTATGACCTTTCAAAATTTTCCAAAATCTAAATCATAAGGTAGGTACCTTCTTACTAAAATGATGAAATTTCAAAATTTTTTTTGCCGAGATTTTGTATCCTAATGGTCAACCAACATACCCCAAACTCCATAGACTAAATTATTCTCAGATTTGAAGCCGAAATCTATGAAAAAGGCACTCAGAAAAATTGAAAAATTGAAAAATCACCCCAAATTGCTTAACACGATTTTATCTCAGGAACTATAAGTGCAAATGAGCTGAATTTTTCAGGGATTGTAGTCCTTTGAAAATGATGACAATTCAGTGAAAGATTCAGCTTTCTATCTATAATAGAAAAAAAGTTATGACCTTTCAAAATTTTCCAAAATCTAAATCATAAGGTAGGTACCTTCTTACTAAAATGATGAAATTTCAAAATTTTTTTTGCCGAGATTTTGTATCCTAATGGTCAACCAACATACCCCAAACTCCATAGACTAAATTATTCTCAGATTTGAAGCCGAAATCTATGAAAAAAGGCACTCAGAAAAATTGAAAAATTGAAAAATCACCCCAAATTGCTTAACACGATTTTATCTCAGGAACTATAAGTGCAAATGAGCTGAATTTTTCAGGGATTGTAGTCCTTTGAAAATGATGACATTCAGTGAAAGATTCAGCTTTCTATCTATAATAGAAAAAAAGTTATGACCTTTCAAAATTTTCCAAAATCTAAATCATAAGGTAGGTACCTTCTTACTAAAATGATGAAATTTCAAAATTTTTTTTGCCGAGATTTTGTATCCTAATGGTCAACCAACATACCCCAAACTCCATAGACTAAATTATTCTCAGATTTGAAGCCGAAATCTATGAAAAAAGGCACTCAGAAAAATTGAAAAATTGAAAAATCACCCCAAATTGCTTAACACGATTTTATCTCAGGAACTATAAGTGCAAATGAGCTGAATTTTTCAGGGATTGTAGTCCTTTGAAAATGATGACATTCAGTGAAAGATTCAGCTTTCTATCTATAATAGAAAAAAAGTTATGACCTTTCAAAATTTTCCAAAATCTAAATCATAAAATGATGAAATTTCAAAATTTTTTTTGCCGAGATTTTGTATCCTAATGGTCAACCAACATACCCCAAACTCCATAGACTAAATTATTCTCAGATTTGAAGCCGAAATCTATGAAAAAAGGCACTCAGAAAAATTGAAAAATTGAAAAATCACCCCCAAATTGCTTAACACGATTTTATCTCAGGAACTATAAGTGCAAATGAGCTGAATTTTTCAGGGATTGTAGTCCTTTGAAAATGATGACATTCAGTGAAAGATTCAGCTTTCTATCTATAATAGGAAAAAAGTTATGACCTTTCAAAGTTTTCCAAAATCTAAATCATAAGGTAGGTACCTTCTTACTAAAATGATGAAATTTCAAAATTTTTTTTGCCGAGATTTTGTATCCTGATGGTCAACCAACATACCCCCAAACTCCATAGACTAAATTATTCTCAGATTTGAAGCCGAAATCTATGAAAAAAGGCACTCAGAAAAATTGAAAAATTGAAAAATCACCCCAAATTGCTTAACACGATTTTATCTCAGGAACTATAAGTGCAAATGAGCTGAATTTTTCAGGGATTGTAGTCCTTTGAAAATGATGACATTCAGTGAAAGATTCAGCTTTCTATCTATAATAGAAAAAAAGTTATGACCTTTCAAAATTTTCCAAAATCTAAATCATAAGGTAGGTACCTTCTTACTAAAATGATGAAATTTCAAAATTTTTTTTGCCGAGATTTTGTATCCTAATGGTCAACCAACATACCCCAAACTCCATAGACTAAATTATTCTCAGATTTGAAGCCGAAATCTATGAAAAAAGGCACTCAGAAAAATTGAAAAATCACCCCAAATTGCTTAACACGATTTTATCTCAGGAACTATAAGTGCAAATGAGCTGAATTTTTCAGGGATTGTAGTCCTTTGAAAATGATGACATTCAGTGAAAGATTCAGCTTTCTATCTATAATAGGAAAAAAGTTATGACCTTTCAAAGTTTTCCAAAATCTAAATCATAAGGTAGGTACCTTCTTACTAAAATGATGAAATTTCAAAATTTTTTTTGCCGAGATTTTGTATCCTGATGGTCAACCAACATACCCCAAACTCCATAGACTAAATTATTCTCAGATTTGAAGCCGAAATCTATGAAAAAAGGCACTCAGAAAAATTGAAAAATTGAAAAATCACCCCAAATTGCTTAACACGATTTTATCTCAGGAACTATAAGTGCAAACGAGCTGAATTTTTCAGGGATTGTAGTCCTTTGAAAATGATGACATTCAGTGAAAGATTCAGCTTTCTATCTATAATAGAAAAAAAGTTATGACCTTTCAAAATTTTCCAAAATCTAAATCATAAGGTAGGTACCTTCTTACTAAAATGATGAAATTTCAAAAATTTTTTTGCCGAGATTTTGTATCCTAATGGTCAACCAACATACCCCAAACTCCATAGACTAAATTATTCTCAGATTTGAAGCCGAAATCTATGAAAAAAAGCACTCAGAAAAATTGAAAAATTGAAAAATCACCCCAAATTGCTTAACACGATTTTATCTCAGGAACTATAAGTGCAAATGAGCTGAATTTTTCAGGGATTGTAGTCCTTTGAAAATGATGACATTCAGTGAAAGATTCAGCTTTCTATCTATAATAGAAAAAAAGTTATGACCTTTCAAAGTTTTCCAAAATCTAAATCATAAGGTAGGTACCTTCTTACTAAAATGATGAAATTTCAAAATTTTTTTTGCCGAGATTTTGTATCCTAATGGTCAACCAACATACCCCAAACTCCATAGACTAAATTATTCTCAGATTTGAAGCCGAAATCTATGAAAAAAGGCACTCAGAAAAATTGATAAATCACCCCAAATTGCTTAACACGATTTTATCTCAGGAACTATAAGTGGAAATGAGCTGAATTTTTCAGGGATTGTAGTCCTTTGAAAATGATAACATTCAGTGAAAGATTCAGCTTTCTATCTACAATAGAAAAAAAGTTATGACCTTCCAAAGTTTTCCAAAATCTAAATCATAAGGTAGGTACCTTCTTAGAAAAATGATGAAATTTAAAAAAAAAAATTGCCGAGATTTTGTATCCTAATGGTCAACCAACATACCCTAAACTCCATAGACTAAATTATTCTCAGATTTGAAGCCGAAATTTATGAAAAAAGGCACTCAGAAAAATTGAAAAATTGATAAATCATCCCAAATTGCTTAACACGATTTTATCTCAGGAACTATAAGTGGAAATGAGCTGAATTTTTCAGGGATTGTAGTCCTTTGAAAATGATAACATTCAGTGAAAGATTCAGCTTTCTATCTACAATAGAAAAAAAGTTATGACCTTCCAAAGTTTTCCAAAATCTAAATCATAAGGTAGGTACCTTCTTAGAAAAATGATGAAATTTAAAAAAAAAAATTGCCGAGATTTTGTATCCTAATGGTCAACCAACATACCCTAAACTCCATAGACTAAATTATTCTCAGATTTGAAGCCGAAATTTATGAAAAAAGGCACTCAGAAAAATTGAAAAATTGATAAATCACCCCAAATTGCTTAACACGAATTTATCTCAGGAACTATATGTGCGAATGAGCTGAATTTTTCAGGGATTATAGTCCTTTGAAAATGATGACATTCAGTGAAAGATTCAGCTTTTTATCTACAATAGAAAAAAAGTTATGACCTTCCAAAGACGATTTTATCTCAGGAACTATAAGTGTAAATGAGCTGAATTTTTTAGGGATTGTAGTCCTTTGAAAATGATGAAATTCAGAAAAAAAGTTATGACCTTTCAAAATTTTCCAAAATCTAAATCATAGGGCTACCTTCTTACTAATGCATAAATTTCAATGCAGCTTCAATGAAATGAAAAATATAGATTTTAAAAAAACATTCTCGAAGCTCACAAAAGTTTCAATTAAGAATGTAGCTACTAAGTTATATTTCTCAAATCAGAAATTACAATTCTGTGTTCTTTTCTTCTCGCTCCCACAATCCAAATAATTATTACACGCACCAATCTACATAATATATTGACCATGTATTTAAATTTGAATAGTCCTTGAAGCAAAGATGAAGCACGTTTAAATAAAATGTTTTCAAAATGTACTTGAGTAAACCCGCGCCAACATTTCAATTGTTCAGAACAGTGGCACGTCATCATCATAATATGTTTTTTATCAGCGGGACTTGTATAGTATTTACTTACACTCGTTATTGTATAATTAATAGGAATGCTTTTCTCTAGGACACAATATCAATTATTGGCGACAAGAGAGCTTATAAGAATGTGTTGGTTTTTGGTTAATTAAAATAATTGTGAAATTAATAATCGGTTTCGTAAAAGGTAAGAAACCTCTGTCCTCTGTAGGTACCTACTATGTTAAAAAATTAATAATCAGAAAACAAGTATCATTAACCTGCGCATGATAATCTTATATTTATAACAAATATTGTAAAGTAGAATAATTTCCATTTTATGCTCATCAGATCAAAGTAAACTATAGTTTTGCGTTCTTTAAGGTAAATCCATAAAAGACTAATTTAGGAACAAAAAGATGAACAATTAAAAAATATGGAAGACACAACTAAACATGCAAAAGGCACACACAAAACTGAGCGCCATCCTTACCAAAATGCCAACTTTTTATCAAAAATATTTTACATGTAAGTACCCCATTACCTAATTATACATTCTTTTACCTGAAACAAAATTATTGTAGATGGATGCTACCAATCTTTAAAGTAGGTTTAAAAAAAGACCTAAACGAAGAAGACCTGCTACCTCCCCTCAAATCGCACAATGCTCAAGACCTAGGCGATAAACTAGAAGCCTCATGGAAATATGAAATTACCAACAGAAAAAATCCATCCCTATGGAGAGCTATATGGAGGGTTTATTGGAAAGATATAATTTTCACTGGTTGTATATGGATCATTTGGGAAACTTTCATAAAGTAACCAGTTGTGTATTTGGATACCAACTATTACATTTTGAACATTATAGATCCTCTCAACCTTTATGCATGTCAAAGTTCCTTGAATATTACCGACCAGGCTCGACAATGTCCTCAGACGAAGTATACATCTACGCCGGCCTAATAATCCTAATGTTATTCTTGCAAGTCGTCGTAGGCCACTATTACCTTCTCAATATTCTACAATTAGGTTTAAAAATACGCCTATCAACATCATCCTTGATCTACAGAAAAGCTTTAAGACTAAGCAAATCGTCTTTGGCGCAAACAACCATTGGACAAATGGTACCTACGAATTTAATTTTCCTCAAAAAAATACTATTGTGAATTTTAAAGGTAAATATTCTATCGAATGATGTTAGCCGCTTTGACGCAGCCATGGTCCAGTTTCACAGTTTATGGTACAGCCCGATTCAAGCATTTGTAGTGATGGGCTTATGCTACGCTTATTTGGGAGTCACTGCCATGACTGGTGTGATTTTGTTGGTATTATGTATACCTTTTCAAAGTACGTATGAGATTAAAACTGGCTTCAAATGACTATGAAGATATTTCTAGTGTGGATGGCCAAAAAAGTCTCAACGTTTCGTCATAAAACTGCTATAAGAACAGATGAACGAATTCGCCTAATGAACGAAATTATATCTGGAATTCAAGTTATTAAAATGTACACTTGGGAAAAACCTTTTGCCAAATTAGTTGAATTAAGTCGAAGGTAAAATGTTGCACCTCCTTAGCTCAAATATTAATTTGCATTCTTATTTTAGAAAAGAAATCAATCAAATCCGCAACATCTCCTATATCCGAGCCGCTGTAGGCTCCCTGAATCTATTTTTAAACAGATGCGCCATTTATCTTTGCCTTCTAACTTTAGTTCTTACAGGCCAAGTGCCTACAGCTCAACACGTTTACACTTTAATTACTTTTTATAATCTCCTGCAATATGCAATCACTATTTACTTTCCTCAAGGCATTACACAACTTGCTGAAGTCAGTATATCCATCAAGAGGATACATACGTTCCTAACTTATGGTGAAACTGATAATGGTAATGAAAATTTAGTGCATACTTCAACCAAATTGGGTGTTATAATAAATAAAGCTTCAGTAAAATGGACCGACACCCAATTAGATGATACTTTACATGATATTTCTTTAAACTTGGACCATAATCAATTGATTGCAGTGGTTGGCCCAGTGGGAAGTGGCAAAACAACCCTGCTCCACCTTATATTAAAAGAACTAACCCTGACAAAGGGCACTTTATATGTATCTGGAAAAATTTCCTATGCCTCACAAGAGCCATGGCTTTTTGTAGGAAGTGTACGTCAAAATATTACATTTGGGCAAGAATTCAATCCCAAAAAGTATCAAGAAGTAATCAAAGTCTGCGCGTTGGAACGTGACTTTGCTCTTTTTCCTTTCGGAGATAAAACAATAGCCGGCGAAAGAGGCGTAACGTTGAGCGGAGGCCAAAAAGCCAGAATCAATTTGGCTAGAGCCATCTACAAAGAGGCTGACATTTATTTGCTGGATGATCCATTGTCAGCTGTAGATGCCCATGTAGGCCGTCACATTTTTGATCAATGTATTTCTGGATATTTGAAAAATAAAGCAGTCGTTTTGGTCACTCATCAACTTCAATATCTTCACAATGTCGAAATGATTTATTTAATTGAAAATGGTCGCATACAAGCAAATGGGACCTATGAGGATTTACAAAAATCTGATAAGGAATTCACTAAGCTTTTACATGAAAAAGAAGATGATGATGAAGAAAAAGTTGGTAATAGGGATAATGATGAGGATAAAAATTATGATGATGGCAAAGAAGAACCAAAACTGCTACAAGAGAATAGAGGTGTTGGTAATATTGCTTGGGACGTTTATAGGAGTTACATTTTTGCTGGAGCACATTGGTGCAAGATAATTGCACTACTTTCAGGATTTGTTTTGTGCCAGACTGCTGCAAGTCTTACCGATTATTTTCAGACATTTTGGTAAAGATTTTTGGTTGATCAATTTTGGAACTCATCAATAATAATTATTTTAGGGTAAATTTGGAACAAAAACGTGCAGAAGAGTTCAATCAAAACCAGACAGTGGATTCTTTAGATGAGAATCAAAAACCATTTTGGGCTATTTTCTTTATGGAAGAAAATTGCTTATACGTCTACAGCATCCTGATACTTCTAACAATATTAATGACTTTAACTAGATCGTTTACATTCTACAGATTTTGCATTAAAGCCTCGCTGAGGCTGCACAATAATATGTTTAACAAAATCGTCTATGCGACAATGAGATTTTTCAATACAAATCCTTCTGGGAGAATTTTGAACAGGTTTTCCAACGACATGGGGGCTATTGATGAACAATTGCCGTTAATTTTCATGGAAACCATTCAAATTTTCTTTATGGTTGGAGCTACCCTGGCAGTAATCGGAAGCCTCAATCCTTGGATGTTTTTGCCTACTGTGATAATATTTGTGATTTTTTATTTGCTTCGAATAATTTACCTCAGGACTAGTCGAGATGTTAAACGTTTGGAAGGAACTAGTAAGAAAAAGTATTTGTATTTGTTCTATAGCTTGATTGACCACGATTTTATGTCTGGAACTGTAAGTCCAAATGAGCTGAAATTTTCAAGGATTGTTGTCCTTCAAAAATGATGACATTCAGTGAAAGATTCAGCTTTCTATCTATAATATAAATAAAGTTATGATCTTTCAAAGTTTTCCAAAATCTAAATCAGAAAGGGGGTACCTTCTTACTAAAATGATGAAATTTCAAAATTTTTTTTGCCGAGATTTTGTATCCTAATGGTCAACCAACATACTCCAAACTCCATACACAAAATTAATCTCAGATTTGAAGCCGAAATTGAAAAATTGATAAATCACCCCAAATTGCTTAACACGATTTTATCTCAGTAACTATAAGTGCGAATGAGCTGAAATTTTCAGGGATTGTAGTCCTTTGAAAATGATGAAATTCAATGAAAGATTCAGCTTTCTATCTATAATAGAAAAAAAGTTATGATCTTTCAAAGTTTTCCAAAATCTAAATCATAAGGGGGGTACCTTCTTACTAAAACGATGAAATTTCAATTTTTTTTTTGTCGAGATTTTGTATCCTAATGGTCAACCAACATACTCCAAACTCCATACACAAAATTAATCTCAGATTTGAAGCCGAAATCTATGAAAAAAGGCACTCAGAAAAATTGAAAAATTGATAAATCATCCCAAATTGCTTAATACGATTTTATCTCAGTAACTATAAGTGCGAATGAGTTGAAATTTTCAGTGATTGTAGTCCCTTTATTAAGATAAGATTCAGTGAAAATTTCAGCTCTCTATCTATAATAGAAAAAAAGTTATGCCCTTCCAAAGTTTTCCAAAATCTAAATCATAAGGTAGGTTCTTACTAAAATGATGAAATTTCAAATTTTTGTTTGCTGAAATTTTGTATCCTAATGGTCAATTAACATCCCCCAAACTCCATACACTAAATTATTCTATATCACCCTTAATTGCTCAATATATTTCAGCTCGCAGTCCAATTTATCTTCATTTGAACGCTTCGCTGCAAGGCTTGACCACCATCAGAGCGTTTGGAGTACAGAAAACTTTACAAAAAGAGTTCGACAATTACCAAAACCAAAACGCAGCCGCTTGGTTTACGTTTGTTGGTTGCGCTAGAAGCTTTGGACTCTGGTTGGATTTGCATTGCGTTGTTTATGTCGGTTTGGTGACTATCAGCTTCTTTTTCGTAAAAACTGGTATGGATTGTTCCAACAACAAGTTCATATTTGAATCTTTTTTCTTTCTTATAGAAATCTTTGGTGGTAATGTTGGCCTAGCAATAACCCAAGCCCTAAGTCTCACTGGTATGTTTCAATGGGGCATGAGACAATGGAGCGAACTAGAAAACAGAATGACTTGCATTGAAAGGATTAAAGAATATGCGGATGTGGTACCGGAAAGTGAAAAAGTTACCAAGGAACCACCGAAATCCTGGCCGGAAAAAGGAGAAATTAAATTTGAAAAGTTGTGCTTGAAATATGATGTTAACGAGCCTTATATTTTGAAGAATTTAAGTTTTGCTATTAGGAGCAATGAGAAAGTTGGTATTGTTGGTAGAACTGGGGCAGGAAAATCGTCTATTATTGCTGCACTTTTTAGGTGAGAGCAAATCAACCTAAATTTTTTTGTATTTTAATAAATCTTCATATAATTTTAGATTAGCTGACATTGATGGAAAAATCATCATTGACGACATGGATATCAAATTGATTTCATTAAATAAACTAAGATCAACAATTTCAATAATACCACAAGAACCAGTATTATTTTCTGGAAGCTTAAGAAAAAATTTGGACCCATTCGATTTATACAAGGACGAAGTAAATTCATTAGTCTGCAATTTTAATTATAATTTCAAATTAGTTCTTCGAGAACTATATAATAATTAGGTGCTTTTTAGATGCTAATTAGGGCCTCTAATTAAAAATTAGGTGCTCCTTTAGTTTTTGAGATTATTATATAGATACCGAAGTTTTTTTCCATTCTGACACACCAACATGTAACAAAAAATCTGTAACTCAGTTAATAATTAATCAATTCTATTTTTTCTTCGACTATTTAGGAGCACCTAAAAAGCACCTAATTCTGATACAAAAGAAAATTTTGGAAAAATATTTTTTACTATAGGGGACTACTAGCTTTCATAAACCTAGCAATCCCTTAGTTTTTTTTGATTTTCTCAAAAACTAGAGGAGCACCTGATTTTTGATTAGAGGCCCTAATTAGCACCTAAAAAGCACCTAATTATTATATAGATCCCGAAGTTTTTTTGCCATTCTGACACACCAACAAGTGAACGTAAAGCCAGCAGTCCCCTTATAATTAAAAAAAAAATTTGTAACTCAGTTAATAATTAATCAATTCTATTTTTCTTCGACTATTTAGGAGCACCTAAAAGGCACCTAATTCTGAAACAAAGAAAAAATTTGAAAAAATATTTTTTACTATAGGGGACTGCTAAGCTTTTATAAACCTAACAGTCCCTTAGTTTTTTTTGATTTTCTCAAAAACTAAAGGAGCACCTGATTTTTAATTGGAGGCCCTAATTAGCACCTAAAAAGCACCTAATTATTATATAGTTCCCGAATTTTTTTTCCATCTTGGGACTGCTAGGTTTATAGACCTTTTCAAATTGCTTAATTATCCTCAGATTCTATGGAGTGCCTTAGACGAAGTTGAACTCAAAGGAGTAGTAAAAGACTTACCTCAAGGCCTGGAAACTCGTATGTCAGAAGGCGGTGCAAATTTCAGCGTGGGTCAGCGCCAGCTAGTATGCCTAGCACGCGCCATCGTCAGGAACAACAAAATCCTAATCTTGGACGAAGCTACTGCAAATGTGGACCCTCAAACTGATGCGCTCGTCCAGTCGACCATACGCCGCAAATTTTCCGATTGTACGGTACTAACAATCGCCCATCGATTGCATACGATAATGGATTCCGACAAGGTTTTGGTGATGGATGCGGGCAAATCTGTAGAGTTTGGTCATCCGTTTGAGTTGTTGCAAAAGGAAGGGGTGTTTCACGGGTTGGTCAAGCAAACTGGTAAAGCTACTATGGATAATTTGAGTGCAATTGCTAGAAAGGTAATGGAGAGGAAGTTAGTGGAATTTAACATTAATGCCGATTTTTTGTTTCAGAGCTATGATGTATATAAGTTGAAGGAGCAACGAAGCTGTTGATGCTCAATAAAAAAAATTGTGATTCAATTGAAAATGTTATTTTAATTATATTTCTGTTTGTTCATTTGCCAATACTTTTCCTGTGTTTTCTTCTTTCTGTAACACCATAATAATTTAAGTTGGAAAAAGATGAAAAAGGCGCTGTGAAAAGCTAGGAAAGAAATCTGGAATGGTAGTACGTAAATAGAGCGGAACAAGGTTCGATCGAGATAGAAGAAAAATAGCATTGAAAAAGCTGGAAATGAAAAAATCGATCCTTTGACATGGTAGCTGGTTTGTTCACCTCGCCGATCCTCCACTTTCCGCCAACCTTCTTGACTTTCAATGAAAAAATATAGGTACCAAAAACAGAAAAAGTCCAGAGCATTGGCCCAATTGGGTTTAAATTATATCAAAAATTCAAACGTGACATTTGTAATCTTGCCAGAGGCAATCATCATACGATTTCCCCATATGGTTTAATTAACATGGAATATCAATATTATGATGTAATAATTTGCTGTTGTGATAATACAGCTATTTTTATAATCCAACGACAACAATAATTGTGGGACATTTTTTAATTCATTGCACTTATTTAGTTATTAATTGTTGCTAAGAAATGCAAGAAATTACTATTATTTATCAGCTGGACTGATGATAGCAAACAAGGTAAGGTAATCATATTTTAATTTAACATTATCCAATAGACAATCTGATCATTTTCTTACAATGTTAAAACAATAATTCTTATTCAAATTATTTAAATCTCTTAAGTAATTATTGCCATTTCTATTACGTCAATCAGAACACATTTTATTAAAAATTAGTCAGCAACCTTTGAGTAATTTCTTATATTTTGTAATAGGCAAATTATTGTTTTAGTTTTGTAAATATTGTATGGTATTGTTTTGAGCGCGTAATATTTACTTTACGTGCTGAATAAGTGCTTTATTGAATTTTTAAAAAGTATAGCAAATCTTGATTTTTATCTCGAATAGTTTAAATGAAAGGAGTTACAGAATTAAAAGAAGAACCTCTTTACAATAAAACAAGTATAGGTAAGTAGGTACCACTTTAAATAGTTTTTAAAAAAAATTATCTTGTACTTATACGTATCAGTGGCGGCGATATCCATAAGCTGATATAAGTTAAGAAATATATATAATGACCGATATTGATTGATATAGGTACTTAACTGGTAGATTTCTTCCAGAATCCATTTGCCACCGCTGAATAAAGGTCATTTAGTAAATTAAAAATACTGAAAAATTACTTAAGAAATTCCATGTCAGCATAGACTGTATGATCTTTCCATTTTGTCTATCAGACCTAACACGCAGCAACCAATATGATGAATATTCGATATTCTCTAGCCAGTGGATAAAGGAGCCACAGATAATCAAAATTTGAACGATGAATCGGCTCTTGATTATCTGGAAAACCTTCCTAGAGCCAATTACCGGCTCTTAATTGGCTCTAGGAAGGTTTCACCCCAAATTGCTTAACACGATTTTATCTCACGAACTATAAATGCAAATGAGCTAAAATTTTCAGGGATTGTAGTCCTTTGAAATTGATAAAATTCAATGAAAGTTTCAGCTTTGTATCTATAATAGAAAAATAGTTATGACCTTTCAAAGTTTTCCAAAATCTAAATCATAAGGTAGGTACCTTCTTACTAAAACGATGAAATTTCAAAAAAAAAAATGTCGAGATTTTGTATCCTAATGGTTAATAAACATACCCCAAACTCCATACACAAAATTATTCTCAGATTTGAAGCCGAAATCTATGGAAAAAGGCACTCAGAAAAATTGAAAAATTGATAAATCACCCCAAATTGCTTAACACGATTTAATCTCAGGAACTATAAGTGCAAATGAGCTAAAATTTTCAGGGATTGTAGTCCTTTGAAAGGGATAAAATTCAGTGAAAGTTTCAGCTTTCTATCTATAATAGAAAAATAGTTATGACCTTTCAAAGTTTTCCAAAATCTAAATCATAAGGTAGGTACCTTCTTACTAAAACGATGAAATTTCAAAATTTTTTTTTGTTGAAATTTTGTATTTTAATGGTCAGTTAACATACCCCAAACTTCATACACTAAATTATTCTCAGATTTGAAGCCGAAATCTTTGAAAAAAGGCACTCAGAAAAATTGAAAAATTGATAAATCACCCCAAATTGCTTAACACGATTTTATCTCAGGAACTATAAGTGCAAATGAGCTGAAATTTCCAGGGATTGTAGTCCCTTGATTGGGATAAAATTCAATGAAAGATTCAGTTTTCTATCTATAATAGAAAAATAGTTATGACCTTTCAAAGTTTTCCAAAATCTAAATCATAAAGTAGGTACCTTCTTACTAAAACGATGAAATTTCAAATTTTTTTTTGTTGAAATTTTGTATTCTAATGGTCAATCAACATACCCCAAACTCCATACACAAAATTATTCTCAGATTTGAAGCCGAAATCTATGAAAAAGGGCACTCAGAAAAATTGAAAAATTGATAAATCACCCCAAATTGCTTAACACGATTTTATCTCAGGAACTATAAGTGCAAATGAGCTGAAATTTCCAGGGATTGTAGAACCTTGATTGGGATAAAATTCAGTGAAAGATTCAGCTTTCTATCTATAATAGAAAAATAGTTATGACCTTTCAAAGTTTTCCAAAATCTAAATCATAAGGTAGGTACCTTCTTACTAAAACGATGAAATTTCAAAATTTTTTTTTGTTGAAATTTTGTATTTTAATGGTCAGTAAACATACCCCAAACTCCATACACAAAATTATTCTCAGATTTGAAGCCGAAATCTTTGAAAAAAGGCACTCAGAAAAATTGAAAAATTGATAAATCACCCCAAATTGCTTAACACGATTTTATCTCAGGAACTATAAGTGCAAATGAGCTAAAATTTTCAGGGATTGTAGAACCTTGATTGGGATAAAATTCAGTGAAAGATTCAGCTTTCTATCTATAATAGAAAAATAGTTATGACCTTTCAAAGTTTTCCAAAATCTAAATCATAAGGTAGGTACCTTCTTACTAAAACGATGAAATTTCAAAATTTTTTTTTGTTGAAATTTTGTATTTTAATGGTCAGTAAACATACCCCAAACTCCATACACAAAATTATTCTCAGATTTGAAGCCGAAATCTTTGAAAAAAGGCACTCAGAAAAATTGAAAAATTGATAAATCACCCCAAATTGCTTAACACGATTTTATCTCAGGAACTATAAGTGCAAATGAGCTAAAATTTTCAGGGATTGTAGAACCTTGATTGGGATAAAATTCAGTGAAAGATTCAGCTTTCTATCTATAATAGAAAAATAGTTATGACCTTTCAAAGTTTTCCAAAATCTAAATCATAAGGTAGGTACCTTCTTACTAAAACGATGAAATTTCAAAATTTTTTTTTGTTGAAATTTTGTATTTTAATGGTCAGTAAACATACCCCAAACTCCATACACAAAATTATTCTCAGATTTGAAGCCGAAATCTTTGAAAAAAGGCACTCAGAAAAATTGAAAAATTGATAAATCACCCCAAATTGCTTAACACGATTTTATCTCAGGAACTATAAGTGCAAATGAGCTAAAATTTTCAGGGATTGTAGAACCTTGATTGGGATAAAATTCAGTGAAAGATTCAGCTTTCTATCTATAATAGAAAAATAGTTATGACCTTTCAAAGTTTTCCAAAATCTAAATCATAAGGTAGGTACCTTCTTACTAAAACGATGAAATTTCAAAATTTTTTTTTGTTGAAATTTTGTATTTTAATGGTCAGTAAACATACCCCAAACTCCATACACAAAATTATTCTCAGATTTGAAGCCGAAATCTTTGAAAAAAGGCACTCAGAAAAATTGAAAAATTGATAAATCACCCCAAATTGCTTAACACGATTTTATCTCAGGAACTATAAGTGCAAATGAGCTGAAATTTCCAGGGATTGTAGTCCCTTGATTGGGATAAAATTCAATGAAAGATTCAGTTTTCTATCTATAATAGAAAAATAGTTATGACCTTTCAAAGTTTTCCAAAATCTAAATCATAAAGTAGGTACCTTCTTACTAAAACGATGAAATTTCAAATTTTTTTTTGTTGAAATTTTGTATTCTAATGGTCAATCAACATACCCCAAACTCCATACACAAAATTATTCTCAGATTTGAAGCCGAAATCTATGAAAAAGGGCACTCAGAAAAATTGAAAAATTGATAAATCACCCCAAATTGCTTAACACGATTTTATCTCAGGAACTATAAGTGCAAATGAGCTGAAATTTCCAGGGATTGTAGAACCTTGATTGGGATAAAATTCAGTGAAAGATTCAGCTTTCTATCTATAATAGAAAAATAGTTATAATCTTTCAAAGTTATAGTCAAAATTTGAACTTTTGTCAACTCTGGAATCGCATTCAAAGCTCAAGAGCCGATAATAATCAAAATTTCGAATGATCATTAGCAGCTCTACAAAAAATCCCATGTTTTTTCATTACAAGAGTAGGAGGGCCTGTCTGTATATCCTTAGGGACCCAGTGCATCCATCAAGCGCCGCCACTGATAGGTATATTTGTCTACGATAATATTCAGAATATTCTTAAGTACTTTAGCATTGCATATTATGAACTCACATTTTAATGATAAGTATTAATTAATCAGTTAGTGACATCACGAGGTGGCAATAGTATGAATTCAAACCTACCTACCGCAGAAACAAAAAACCTACTTCCATTATTATATTGGAAAAAAATTGAAATAATTTAAATCAATAGGATGGAGAGTGCTAAGGATGCTGAGGCTAGGGAAAAAGCCAGAGTTGAAAATCCTTATCTGAAAGCCGGGATTTTCAAAAAAATGTTTTTCATGTAAGTAATATAAAATCTACTCAGTGTCATTTATTATCATGAAAATTTTCTAGATGGGTATTTCCAGTGTTCTACAAGGGCTACAAATATGGCCTAACAGAAAACGACATTTTTTCTCATCTACCAGATCACGACTCTGAGATACTCGGCAATAGGTTGGAAAAAGAATGGCTCAAAGAGCTGAAAATGAACAAAAAACATCCATCATTATGGAGAGCAATGGCAAGAGTATTTGGAAAGGAAATGTTCTTTTCCGGTACAGGAGTATTTATGTTTGAATTGATCAGGTTAGAAGATCAATAATAATCGATATTATATCACTTAATGAATATTTTCTATATATAGGCTCACATTACCACTAACTCTATCAAAACTCTTGGAGTTCTTTGAACCAAACTCAACTATGGAAATAAGCGAAGCCTACATGTACGCAGCCCTGCTCAGTGTCACAACTTTAACCCAAGTTTCCTTTATCCATCACGCCATGTTCCACATTTTCCACATGGGCATGAAACTTCGCGTAGCTACAGTGGCTGTAGTCTACAGAAAAGCTATCAGACTCAGCAACTCTGCCTTGGCCGAAACCACCATCGGTCAAATGGTCAATTTGATATCCAACGACGTGTCCAGGTTCGAAAATTGCACTTACAACGTGCACAATTTATGGATTGGACCGATACAACTTTTTATTTTGTTTTTTTTGTTGTACTCTTATGCTGGATGGACTGGGTTGACGGGTATCGCTATATTGTTATGTGTGATACCATTTCAGAGTAAGTGTAGATTTGGTTATTCGAGAATTGATTTCTTCTGTTGGGTCGAACCAACTAGCATAATCACTCTGGGTTTTATTTTGGGACTATACCTATTTTCTATACAGTAGCTATTCAGATCCATGAGAAAGATAATTTGGAGATGACACACATTCTGAGGCTTTTACATCAGGTTTTGAAGAAAGTTGTGGGAAATGTCGAATAGTGTTCACTTCGCAGAATATTTATTTTTGATCATCACAAAGTCTTAAAGACGTGTTTTTTAGGTCTACATTGCGTTTGAACGTCTGAAGACCGAAAAAAGACGTCCATAAGATGTCGTAAATTCACATCTGAGCCACACAATTTGGTACAACCAGGCATAAATAATGGTTTATGTATTAAAAAGAGATTCAAAGACGTCTTTGAAACATCTTGTTGAAAACGTTTCTAAAATGTGTTGGAAAATTTTTATAAAGACGTTGGGTTTTGTTAGATACGACGCGACGTCTTAAAGATGCATTGAAGGCGAAAGCAGACGTCTGCAATGTCGTTTGTGGACATCTTAAGGTTGTTTTTAAGATGTATACAAAAACTTCCCACAGAACTCGTTTTTAATTCAATTTAAGGAGTTATTGGAAACCATTTAAAATGCTACAAAACACTTTAGAACTTTAATAAGCTTCTTGGAAGCCTTCAGAACAATTTGGAAACTTCAGAACCATTTTAGAATGCTCCAAAACATTCAGAAGCCGATTTACAATTTCCAAAAGCATTTTAGAACAATTCGCAAATTTGAAACCCATTTTAAGACGCTCCAAAACACTCAAAATACTCTAGTCTTTAATCTCCAGAAACAGAAAAGCGTCTGAATCTTAGAATTCAAGTTAAAAGTTACAAAACGCATTTCAGAAGGCGTTCAAGAGCAAATTTAAATTGCCTAAGAATTTAGCCTTTAATAAGCGTCCAAAACTGACCAAAACAGTTCAAATCCAAATCAGAGCTACATATTTCAGAACAATTAGGATTCAATTTAGAACTGGAATCCTTTTAGAACTCTTTTGAACCAATTTAGAATACTTTGGAGTTTCAATAAAGGGCTCTAGAATACTTGAAAATCTGTTAGAATAATTTAGAAATTACTGAAAAACTTCTAAAACGCTCTATAGAACTCTTTAGAGCAAGTTAGAACACTTTAGAACTCCAATAAGCCAGTTAGAACGTTCCAAAACACTTTCCAGCAGCATTTTGAAAGGCTTCAGAACAATTTAAAAACTGTTTTGTGCCTAGCGCCAGGAATAGACAAAAATTGACTCTTATAAAATGAGTAATATAAGGAAATATTAGTCCTGAAGATGTCTCTAGGCAGACGTCTGAAAGACGTTGGGTTTTGTTACATATGACATTTTCCAGACGCATTGAATACGTCGTTTGTGGACATCTTAGGGCAGGATTGGACGAACTTTCGGAAGTGGGCCCGGAAATTTTAGTCCAGCGACCCATACAATCATTAATTCATAGGCCACATCACATCATCACCCCTAGATGTGATCTAAAAATATTTAGGCTCAATAGACACTTTAAGCAAATTCTAAATTTTTCCACGTATCCGTATCCGCATCCGTAAACGCATCGACTTACGTTGACCGCCTAAAAGTCCTTTTAAGCATGGCCATACATTACGTAAACGATCGTATCCTTAGATGAAACGTTTTCTAACCTCAAAAAGTACTGGTTTATGTTGTTAAAGTTATTTAACTGATAACTAAAGCCCATTTTACAATGGACCGTAAAGACGTAACATAAGTCCTAAGCATGCGCACATTAGATTTATTTGCGTCAAATATATTACTGAAAACGCAACGTAAGAGAAGATGAGAATAATTCAAATTTTGATTATTCTTGGCTTTTGATTGGATCTGAAATTCAAATTTCGAATATTTTCGGCTCATGATTGGTTTAGAAATTGAATTTTTGATTATTCCCGGCTCTTGATTGATTTCCAAAGTCAGTTTTTTAATTTTTCCGGCTCTTGATTGGATTTAAAATTCAAATTTTGATTATTCCTGGCCCTTGATTAGCTCTGGAATTCAAATTTTGAATATTCCCAACTCATGATTGGTTTAGAAATTGAATTTTTAATCCTTCCTCTTGATTGGCTTCAAATTTTAAATATTCCCGGCCCTTGATTGGCTTAGAAATTCAAATTTTAAATATTCCCAGCTCTCGATTGGTTTTCAAAAACAATTTTCGAATTTTCCCCACTTTCGATTGGGTTTAAAATTCAAATTTTGATTACTCTTGGCTCTTGATTGGCTCTGAAATTCAAATTTTCAATATTCCTTGCTCATGATTGGTTTAGAAATTGAATTTTTGATTATTACCGGCTTTTGGTTGGCTTAAAAATTCAAATTTTGATTATTCCCGGCTCTTGTGATTGGCTCCGAAATTCAATTTTTGAATTTTCCCGGCTCCTGATTGGGTTTAAAATTCACATTCTGAATATTTCTGGCTCTTGATTGGCTCTGAAATTCATATTTTAAATATTCCCGACTCATGAAACCAATCATGAGAAACTAAATTTTTGATTATTCCCGGCTTTTGATTGGCTTCAAATTTTGAATATTCCCGGCTCTTGATTGGCCTAAAAATTCAAATTTTGAATATTTCTGGCTCTTGATTGACTTTCCAAAATAATTTTTTGAATTTTCTCGGCTCTTGATTGGCTTCATATTTTGAATATTCTCGGCTCTTGATTGGCTTAGAAATTCAAATCTTAAATATTCCCAGTTCTTGATTGGCTTCCAAAGTCAATTTTTGAATTTTCCTGGCTCTTGATTGGGTTTAAAATTTAAATTTTAATTATTCTCGGCTCTTGATCGGGTTTAAAATTTGAATTTCTTACGGCTATTGCCACCGCTATAACTTAAGGGATATTTGATACAAGTGGAGCTTTGAATGTGACTCTTGTAGAAACAAAAGTCACATTCAAAGCTCTACTTAGATTAAATATCCCTTAAGTGATAGTCGTGCAAATAGCCCTTAGCCAATCAAGAGCTGGGAATATTCACAATTTGAATTTCTAATCCAATCAAGAGTCGGGATTATTCAAAATTTGAAGCCAATCAAAAGCCGGGAATAATCAAAAATTCAATTTTTAAACTAATCATGAGCCGGGAATATTCAAAATTTGGATTTCAGAACCAATCAAGAGCCAGGAATATTCGAAATTTGAATTTCTAAGCCAATCAAGAGTCGGGAAAATTCAAAAATTAATTTTGGAAGTTAATCAATAGCCGGGAATATTCAAAATTTGAATTTCAGAGCCAAACAAGAGCCAGGAATAATCAAAATTTGAATTTTAAACCCAATCAAGAACCGAGAAAATTCAAAAATTGACTTTGGAAGCGAATCAAGAGCCGGGAATATTTGAAATTTCAATTTCCAAACTATTCAAGAGTCGGGAATATTCAAAATTTGAAGCCAATCAAGAGCCGGGAAAAATCAAAAATTCAGTTTCTAAACCAATCATGAGCCGGGAATGTTTAAAATTTGAATTTTAAACCCAATCAAGAGCCGGGAACATTCAAAAATTAACTTTGGAAGCCAATCAAGAGCCGGGAATATTCAAAATTTGAATTTTTAAGCCAACCAAGACCCAGGAATGATTAAAAATTGAATTTCTAAACCATTCAAAAGCCGGGAATAATCAAAATTCAAATTCCCAAACCAATCAAAAGCCGGGAAAATGTAAAATGCGAATTCCAAACCCAACGGGAAACTAAAATTTTTTTACCAAATGTTGCTACAAACGAATTCAATACATTTTCATATAACAAGCGTTGCGACATTAAATCTTACCCTAAAAACCCACTAAAAAAACTACCCCCAAAACGACTTGTTGCTACACTTTCGCTCGTGTTGCTACTTTTTCTTATGTTGCTACAAAAGTTCATTGAAATCTTGCTCTAAACCTACTAAAAACTACTCCCAACGATTGTGTTGCTACACTTTTTTTTTCGTGCTGCTACATAAGAAATTCAACAAACTCTTGACCTGAGCAAACAATCCCACAAATGACTTGTTGCTACACAAAACGAGTGTTGCTACACTTTTACTCAAGACGTGTTGCTACATATCATGATCTTGTGCTGCTACACAAAGGAAGTGTTGCTACAAGAATAATTAATTTCAATCTTGCCCCAAATCTACTAACGACTTGTTGCTACAGCAAATCTAGTATTGTTACAAAAATATTGCTACACGACGACGTGTGGCATGATTTACTTTACAAAGCGGCACGGCGGCATCTCTTACGTTGCGTTTCCGGTGACATATTTGACGCAAATAAATCTAATGTGCGCATGCTTAGGACTTTTGATACGTCTTTACGGTTACGTTACGTCCATTGTAAAATGGGCTTAACAAGGAGATCTCTCAATAGTGTCAAATGATTGAGATACGTTTCCGGATACGGATACGAGGCTAGGCCACTGATCTCAAAAATAAATGGATAAACAAAGAACGCTTCTAATGCTGCTAATTTACGAGGTCAAAATCTAAACAAAAACAACTGACTGGGACAGCTGTGAGCGTGCGCAGTAGATACATGTATTGTGCGTGCACAAAATCTGGCCAATGAAAATGAAGGAATTTCAAAATTTAGAAGAGTTGTTCGAAAGATAAGACACTGCGCAGGCGTTAGGCTGTTCCGTTGCACAACTGTTCGTAGAATATTGACCCCAAATTTTCGCACAAATTTTGCCAATCAAGCCGTATGAATTGTTTATCCATTAATTTTTTAGATCAGTGGGCTAGGCCCGTAACGATACGGACAGCGCAACGCAACGAATCCACCGTATCTCTTCTGCGCATGCGGATACAGATACGTTTGAAATTCAAGACTTGCTTAAAGTGATATTAATCATTATCACCAACGCATCCAAATTCTCCATTGTGAGTTGATTCCTAGATTGATTTTTTATCTATTTAAGTGTTGAAAATTGAAAAGCATTTTTCGCACCCTACTTGTGTGCATGCTAAAGTGAGGACATACTGGTTTAGGCCCCAAAAATGACTGTAAGCACGAATGTGAAATCTGTATTTACCTATAGAAAACCAAACATTGTTTGCAGCGTAAATGTGGAGAACATTTGTTTTAGAAAGTTCTAATTCATTCCCTGTATCATCTTCATCTTTATCGTTCAATTCAGGGAGGTCATGCAGTTCCAGCGTCCTTCCAAGTCAGTTACCTAATTTTATTCAAAGCATGGTCTCGCATTGATTAGAAAAAATTATTTGGATCCAAATATGAACAGCACAAATATCTCTATGCCTCGAAGATGCCTCTATTTTTTTTATGATGCGATTTATGGCCCATGGCCACATCGTGTACCTACTATTCCACCTGAAATTTAGAAATAGCATTAACTTGAGGATTATCATCTCTGCTTCCTCCATTGCCATCTTCTTTCAAATTTTTTTTACGGGGACGAATTGCGGGTAATGAGTCTTGCCTTATTGTACTATAACATCACTTTCATTTGCTTCCAGTCCTGGTATTCACCCAATTGATAAATTTTTTCAGCACTTTCTGATATTTCTTCCATGTTGTGTTGTTCCTTTTTCAGTGCGTCATAAGTTGAATTGATTATTCCTGTACTTTCGCTCTGTTCGGACAGAAATCACAAATCAGTCAGAGCCAATTTCATTGGTTGAAAATAGTCAGAACTGTTTGTTGGCGATTTGCACCAATCAAAAACGCTCTGACTGATTTGTGATTTCTTCGAGAACAGAAGGCTTTATTGAGGTTGTTTGTTTGAAGGTATTTTGATAAAAGTTCTGTTGTTCTAAAGATCGGCCCACACTCCGATCGGCCCACCGGGGATTTCCCGGTATCCCGGTGGGTTCATCCAACCCTGTCTTAGGGACGTTTTTAAGATGTCTCTGTGCTGTCTGGGATCAACCAGAAACCGTATCAAAATTGTTTTGTTTGAATTCCCTGGTCCGTTTTGCTGGTGTCTGAGCTGAGTGGTTTATCATAATTACTTTCTCCGGTTCTTCTTCAATAAATTTCTTGCTCTTTCAACTTTATAGTTTATACGCTTTGTGATTTATTTTTTTCATGTCGATGTTCAAGCATATTTTGTACCATTGATTTTCATTCAAAGTTTGGTTTGCGCAACGTCACTTTTGAGGTATCTACCTACCTAATAAATTAAATTAAAGCTAAACATTTTTTAGTATGGATGGGTAAAAAAGCCTCAGTATTTCGTTTAAAGACGGCATTGAAAACCGACGAAAGAATACGTCTCATGAACGAAATCATAGGAGGAGTGCAAGTAATCAAAATGTACACTTGGGAAAAGCCTTTTACGAAACTAGTCGAAATCATAAGAAGGTAATCAGTTTTAACCACTCTAGCCACAAAAATTACCAAACAAAATTCCAGATTAGAAATGAAAGAAATCCGCAAGAATTCAATCCTCAAAGCCATCCACGCTTCGTTCAACTTGTTCCTCACAAAAGTCTTAGTTTACTCTTGCATCCTCGTCTACACACTCACAGGCAATACGGTAAATGCCCAATACGTCTTTGGACTATCGATTTTTTACGAGCTGCTACGACAATGTCTTAGTCAAGCGTTTGCTCAAGGCATAGCCCAAATGGCCGAAGCAATGATCTCCACTAGAAGAATCAGGCAATTTTTACTATACGACGAACTAAATCCTGAGTTCACTTTGGCGGCTCTAGAAGGTGGCAGGGATTTTAAAACAAGCGTTACTGGATCTATGCTAATTGCCAAACCGATTCCTGATCACACTAAGCCTGTCGGCATTAAGCTGGAAAATGTTTCAACTAAATGGATCAAGACAAGTGAAGAATTGAATTTGAAGTATATAGATTTTGATTTGGAGCTTGGACAATTGGCTACTGTAATTGGTAAAGTTGGCAGCGGCAAATCAACTTTATTGCATGTGTTTTTGAGAGAACTTGTGCCTGTAGTGGGAAGAGTAAATATCAATGGTTCCATATCCTATGCATCTCAAGAGCCTTGGTTATTTGTGGGTAGTGTACGTCAAAATATCCTCTTTGGCCAGGAATTTGATGCAGTCAAGTACCATCAAGTAATCAAAGTGTGTGCCTTGGAACGGGACTTTAGCCTTTTTCCTTATGGAGATGGTACCATAATTGGAGAGCGAGGAGTGTCTTTGAGTGGAGGCCAAAGGGCTCGAATCAATTTGGCCAGAGCTGTTTACAAAGAAGCTGATATTTACTTACTGGACGATCCATTGTCAGCAGTAGATGCTCACGTTGGCAAGCAAATATTTAAGCAATGTATCGAAAAGTATTTGAAAGACAAATGTGTTGTGCTGGTCACGCATCAGCTGCAATATTTGAAAGACTGCAAGAACATTTATTTGTTGAATGACGGCAAAGTGGAACATTCTGGGAGTTTTGAGGATATTAAAAAAGCTGGTAAGGAATTTACTAGTTTGCTGGAAGAAATTAAAAAGTTAGAGGAAGAGGAAGCGAAAAAGGAGGCCGAAGAAGTGAGAAAGAGGAAGATTACTCAAACATCAATTGCAGGTATAATTAAACACCTTAACTATAATTTTTTTTTATATATAAGTACTTGTGTATTTCAAGATGACGAAGAAAAAGCTTTGGAGCCTACATTTGCCAAAGAATCTAAAATCGAAGGCAAAGTCACTTGGAGCATGTACAAATCCTATTTCTTAGCTGGAGGCAATGCCTTCAAGGTCCTTGCAGTTGCATTCTTATTTGTTTTCTCACAAGGAATATTAAGCTTTGTTGATTACTTCTTGAGCCTTTGGTGAATATCAATATACAAAGCATATATTATTAGAATAGGTAATCATTATTTTTTTAGGGTGAATTATGAATTAATGAAACAACAGAACAACCTAACAGAAACAGCCAATGACACACTAATAATCCAAAACCTAGACAGTGCCCAGTACTCCTTAATCCAAAAACTGTGGTACCAATACCTCACCGATGATATTTGCCTCTACATCTACACGTTCCTTATAATAATTGTTGGACCTTTGGTAATGGGACGCGCAATAATATTTTTCAATTGTTGTATCAATGCTTCCATCAACCTTCACAATAATATGTTTTCCAAAATTATTTATGCTCCAATGAGATTTTTCAATTTGAATCCTTCTGGGAGGATTTTGAATCGGTTTTCTAAGGATATGAATTCGGTGGATGAATATCTGCCTTCAACACTTTCAGATACTGTGCAGGTATTTAAGTTAAACTTAGTTTCAGTTGTTGATCAGAAATCGAATTTATTTATTTTCAGATCGGTTTTATGATAGCAGCCATTATAGTTGTAGTTGCCACAGTAATTCCAATAATTCTAGTACCAACTGGCATTATATTGACTATATTTTATTTGATCAGAGTTGTTTACCTTGCCACTAGTAGGGATATAAAAAGATTTGAAGCTCTAAGTAAGTAGGTAATTTAGTTTGTATATTTCATTTTTTTTTTTTCCGTTTTGGAAAATTCATTGTCTATTGCTTTTTGCTCAACATATTGAATATCCATTGATATAATTTCAGCCCGAAGTCCTGTATACTCGCATCTTACAGCCACCCTGCAAGGACTAACAACCATTAGAGCATTCGGAGCTCAGCATTTAGTCAGAAAGGAATTCGACAACTACCACGACGCCTACAACTCAGCTTATTTCATGTTTCTTGCCGCTAACAGGACGTTCGGGTATTGGTTGGATTTGTTTACCTCCTTGTTCGTTTCAATGGTGACTTTTAGTTTTTTGCTATTCAAAAATGGTAATTAATATAATCCAAATCATTTATTTGACCGGGTATCAATATTTGTTGTAGATTCCTTTGGTGGTAGTGTAGGTTTAGCCATCTCCCAAGCCATAAACTTAGCAGGTTGGTTCCAATACGGTATACGTCAATGGAGTGAAATGGAAAATACAATGACCTGTATTGAAAGAGTAAAAGAGTATGCGGAATTGGTACCCGAACCAGATTCACAGGCCAAAGAGCCTGCGAAAACTTGGCCTGAAACTGGCTCAATGAAATTTGATAATGTTTGCCTCAGATATGCTCCAGATGAGCCCTACGTTTTGAAAGATTTGAGTTTCCAAATCAAACCTACAGAGAAAGTTGGTATCGTTGGCAGGACTGGTGCTGGAAAATCCTCAATAATTGCTGCACTGTTTAGACTTGCTGAAATCGATGGCCAAATTCTAATCGACAATGTTGATAGTAAGACAATATCTTTGAACAAGCTCAGGTCAAACATAGCAATTATTCCACAAGAACCCGTATTGTTTTCTGGAAGTTTGAGAAAGAATTTGGATCCGTTTGATGAATATAATGATGAGATTCTTTGGAATGCTTTGGAAGAAGTTGAACTAAAAACCGCCGTATCTGATTTGCCTCGTGGATTAGAAAGCAAAATGTCTGAAGGTGGTTCAAATTTCAGTGTGGGTCAAAGGCAACTGGTCTGCTTGGCACGTGCGGTAGTAAGAAAAAGCAAAATTCTAGTGTTAGACGAGGCCACTGCTAGTGTGGATCCTCACACGGACAGTTTGATTCAAACAACAATAAGAAAAAAGTTTGCTGGATGTACTGTGCTGACCATAGCTCATCGATTACATACTATCATGGATTCAGATAAAGTATTGGTGATGGATGCTGGAAAGTCGGTTGAATTCGATCATCCTTATGTTTTATTGCAAGACGAGCAAAGTATATTCTCTTCGCTAGTAGAACAAACTGGCAAAAGTATGGCTGCGAATCTACGTGAAATTGCTGCTAGGGTAAACTTGAAGAATATATTTGTTGGTTTTAGTTGTTTGAATTTTTGTTGTTTTCAGACCTACCAGATGCAGTAGAACTTGATATATGAGACCATAAGATTGTGATATTTATTTAAGATGCAATATGATTTGTTTCAATTAATATACCTAGACAAAATGATGTATGTTCTTTTATTTTGTGTTCTTACTATAACGACTCGTATAACGATGAAATTTCAATTTTTTTTTTGTTGAGATTTTGTGTCCTAATGATTTCTCGTGATCCCCTGAACTCCATAAACTAAATTATTCCGAGATTTGGAGCCGGATTCTATGGAAAAAGGCACTCAGAAGATTTTGCTCCCGCCCAATACCCGCGGATTTCTTAACGTGATTTTTTCTCTGAATCTATAAATGCAATTGAGCTAAAATTTTCAGGGATTGTAACCCACCAATGGGTTAAGAATCGCTGAAAATTTTAGCTTTCTATCTTTTCTAGAAAAAAAGTTATGACCTTTGAAAGTTTTCCAAAAAAAATCATAAGGGCCATAAGGGGGGTACCTTCTTACTAAAAAGATGAAATTTCAAATTTTTTTTTGGCCAGATTTTGTATCCTAATGGTCAATGAACATACTCGAAACTCCATACACAGAATTATTCTCAGATTTGAAGCCAAAATCTATAAAAAAAGGCACTCAGAAAAATTGAAAAATTGATAAATCACCCCAAATTTCTTAACACAATTTTATCTCAGGAACTATAAGTGCAAATGAGCTGAAATTTTCAGGGATTGTAGTCCTTTGAAAGGGATAAAATTCAGTAAAAGTTTCAGCTTTCTATCTATAATAGAAAAATAGTTATGACCTTTCAAAGTTTTCCAAAATCTAAATCATAAGGTAGGTAGGTACCTTCTTACTAAAATGATGAAATTTCAAATTTTTTTTTGTCTGGATTTTGTATTCTAATGGTCAATCAACATACCCCAAACTCCATACACAAAATTATTCTCAGATTTGAAGCCAAAATCTATGAAAAAAGGCACTCAGAAAAATTGAAAAATTGATTAATCACCCCAAATTGCTTAACACGATTTTATCTCAGGAACTATAAGTGCAAATGAGCTGAAATTTTTTAGTGATTGTAGTCCCTTTATTGAGATAAATTTCAGTGGAAATTTCAGCTTTCTATGTATAATAGAGAAAAAGTTATGCCTTTCCAAAGTTTTCGAAAATCTAAATGACAAGGTAGGTACCTTCCGACCGAAGGCTTCCGACCGAAGTACCTAGAAATACCGTCGAAGTACCCGAAATACCCTCGAATTACCGCGCGAAGTCCCGCAATACTTCTAAAAAAATTCTCGTTTATAACGATTCTTCTTGTGGATATAAGTGAAGAATTTTTGCTCGGATTTTTGTATCTTTTGATATGATGGATGTTATTCGGATACACAAACAACAAATAAATTAATAGTTGAAGTAATAAGAATAAAACATTAAAATAAGATAAAAACAGCTACCTATCGGAATATCAGATATTTTTAACAGAATGGATGTAAAAAAGTGTGATTTCTCCAAAAATCATTCAAAAAACAGGCTGTTCCATTCAAATAACCGCTTATCCATGGTGTAACTCTTTGGTTTTTGGTTCAAATGATTTTTTGGTACCATTTTCGAGTTCTCCAGAAAAAAATGTTCCAAAGGGCTATTTTCAATTTCCTCAAAAATACAGGGAAAGTCAAAAATAATCCCCTGTTAACCCCTGTTCAGTTCTCGTTGGATGACTGATGACCTTGTACTATTAACAACTAAAGGGTCATTTACATCCACTTAACGTATCTATGAAAAAGGCACTCAGAAAAATTGAAAAATTATTGATAAATCACCCCAAATTGCTTAACACGATTTTATCTCAGGAACTACAAGTGCAAATGAGCTGAAATTCTCAGGGATTGTAGTTCTTTGAAAGGGATAAAATTCAGTAAACGATTCAGCTTTCTATCTATAATAAAAAAAAAAGTTATGACCTTTCAAAATTTTCCAAAAAAATCATAAGGGGAGTACCTTCTTACTAAAACGAGGAAATTGAACATACTACAAACTTTATACACAAAATTATTCTTAGATTTGAAGCCGAAATCTAAGAAAAAAGGCACTCAGAAAAATCGAAAAATTGATAAATCACCCCAAATTACTTAACACGATTTTATCTCAGGAACTATAAGTTCAAATGAGCTGAATTTTTCAGGGATTGTAGTCCCTTTATTGAGATAAATTTCAGTGAAAATTTCAACTTTCTATCCTTTAATAGAAAAAAGTTATGACCTTTCAATTCTCTTTCATTCGATGTCATTTGAAAGAAAATTGAACGCTCTTTTAAAATAGGTATCACTCGACCCCCTGTTCCATTTGGAATGGTAAGGGTTGGTTCTACCCCCCTAGATGGTTAAGTTAGTGCTGAAAATGTTTCAAACACTTCTCACATAATCAGATTTCCTGTACGCATCCACTCTACTACGCTACGGTTCCGATCGGTCGGACATGTTTTTATTTGCTACCTGCTCGAAAAATCAGGAAGATCTGCTAGGGGCTGCTATTTATGAGCTTATTATAGGGAGTTATGGGACAAGTGAATGCCGATCAGCTCAGGCCCGTAGCCAGGGGGAGGCCAGAGTGGGCAATGCCCACTCTGAAAGAAAAAGTTGCCCACTCTAGAGTAGGCTAGAAAAAAAAAATCACGAAACAATTAGGTATGTGATTTAATTTCTGTTTTCTGGATAATATTATCAATGCTTTTATAAACTCCAATTATTTTGAAGAAGTTTACGTCTATTTGCTGTGACCGTTTTCCGTTTATAAAACCACAGTTTAGTCCATATTTTACCTTAAGAGCTGGGTTCGGCTATTGAGCGCGGAGTTGGAGTGGAGTGAATAGAGCTAATGGAGTTACCCCTAATACGGTAAAAAGCAATACCCGAACCTTAACCCGAACGGCTAGAGTGCGAATGGAGTCACTCGGAGTGCACGGAGTGAGCAAGCCGAACCCACCTAAGGTAGGTGGCACCAGTAACATTTGAAGGTTCTCCCCTCACACGCAGCTTAACTGCAACAAGATATGATCCAGACAACCCCATAGTTCACGGGCCGCCTTACAAGAATTTACCCATCTATTTTGAACCCCCATGAAACCCTCCCCATCCTAAAACCTGCAAACCACACACCCAAATTAAGTAAACAACCCATCCAAGCACAGCTAAAATCCAAATCGCCGAGACATAATTAGACAAGAGAGATTTGGCGCTAACGCCAATAGCCTTATAGTTGGGGAGCTGGCGTCAAAAACATGCAAGAGTTTTCGCAAGGCAGATATTTTCAAAATAGGTCGTACTTTAGTGTTAGAATGCTAGTGTACAGTCAGCACTCACAGTTCCGGGACGCATGTTTTAATTCCGTCATCTATTTCGGCACCAATAGAAATAACACGTTCTGATTGGCTGCGCGGTGTTCTTCGACGCGGTGCCGAGATGGGGGTCGGAAATAACTGCAGAGTGCCGAGATCGCATGACAGAATTAACTATTTCTTGTTACATCTTGGGCATCATTTCTAGTGCAGACGCCAGGCGATATTGCATTATTATTATAAGATATTTATTATTTTTACCGCAAAAATGGAAGAGTTTTTACCTACCTTGTTTCGTAACGTGACTATTCATGAAAAATGTGTTCGAAGCAACATAAAAAGTGAAGAAGATTTGCGCCAATGGGTACAAGAATACAGTGTATTGAACAAAACAAACTGGAACGTTAAAAAGTGCATAGGGTCAAATGGGTTTGTATGGTTAGATATGGTATTATTATTATGATTGAAATAATAATTGTTTTAAAAAGGGTGCATCAAATTCGATGGCCTCTATTAGTAGAGTGACAAAAATATTTGTCAGTTTAAGGAGCTGAATTCGGGTTTCATTTATGCCCGATCTAAAGAAAACACCTGAACTTCGATACCTTTGAAGCTTATTGCCTTTGTATGAAGATACTGGTGTTCAAGAATTCAATGTGTTTGTTTCACGTTATCCAAAGTGGAAAACATATACATATATCTAATTACTGGAAAAGACGAGAGGATTGGTCGCTTGCATTGTATACAAAATAGAATTCACAGCATGTATGATTTTATTACAGAGTCATCATAATACTCATGGCACTTCTTCAAAGATAATAAATCTCTGCATGCAACATGCAACGCTTAAAGAAAATTTCGACTCACACGGCTTGGGATTCTTATCTAGCTACTACTGGTGGTTATTTACCCAGAAAACATACATCTAGGGCTGCAATTAGAAATTAGAGTACCTACAACCTACGACAATAAGCCAAAGAAAAACTTTAATTCAACGAACAAAACGTTTGGAGGTGGCCGGCCTTCGAAAGAGTCATTAAAACGAAGGAGAATCAAAAGACCTCGAAATTTACAGTTAAATGTTGACCACAATGTCCCAAACGCCATCGGCCATTAATTTGTTTCACTATCGTTTTCTATATCCTAATATCTTTTGTGCCAGGTACTACTCTAATAACTGAATTAAAAAAATCTAAGCATGTTTAAATTTCCTGTTTCAATAAAATTTGCTACATCCTGATATTTTTTGTGCCATGTACTACCTTAATAATTGAATAAGAAAAATCTAAGAATATTTTGATTCCCAGTTTCAAGAAAATTTGCCTTTGGCTTTGTTTTAATTCTGTCCGCTGTTTCGGCACTCTGCAGTTATTTCCGACCCCCATCTCGGCACCGCGTCGAAGAACACCGCGCAGCCAATCAGAACGTGTTATTTCTGATATGGTGCCGAAATAGATGACGGAATTAAAACATGCTTCCGGGACAGCTGGCTCTGGGACGCGGGCAAAGTTGTAATTTCAAGAAGCAGCTAAACTGTTTTCTCAAAGCTCAAAATTTATAGAAATTTTGCACATTATCTGTTTGAAGGTCACAGATAACATATGTAAATCGTCAGACGTCTAGTTCGTTGCAAAAAGGGGGTCAGACGGCCTCAAAGTTTTTATTTTATGGCATTTTCTTCGGTGTCCTGTCAAAATATATTTTTGCAGGTATTTGACAAATATATTTGAAGAAAATGCCATAAAATAATAACTTTGAGGACGTCTGACCCCCTTTTTGCAACGAACTAGAAGTCTGACGATTTACATACGTTATCTGTGACCTTCAAACAGATAATGTGCAAAATTTCTATAAATTTTGAGCTTTGAGAAAACAGTTTAGATGCTTCTAAAAATTACAACTTTGCCCGCGTCCCAGAGCCAGCTGTCCCGGAACTGTGAGTGCTGACTGTACACTAGCATTCTAACACTAAAGTACGACCTATTTTGAAAATATCCGCCTTGCGAAAACTCTTGCATGTTTTTGGCGCCACCTCCTGGACTATTAGTCTAAGCAGGAGACTTAGGCAAATCCAGTCATAGGTCTAATTTCAACCCTCAGTTCTTCGGAAAATTCCAACTTGTCAGCGAACTAGTGTGTAGCAAACTCCTCTTTCGCTGACTATGAGGAAACCACTTGTCTAATTACCATCAAAACACCCCCGATCCGACCAACAATTATAGGCAAAATTGCCCAATTTAGCTGATAAATGCTGATCCCAATCCCGGTAAATTCTTGCACCCAATCCCCCCAACCCTCATTCTCTGACACCCTTAAAACACCTACCCCTAGAGCTCAGCCTTTGCTGTTGAGTCTGCGTCCCTCTAGGACCAAACCGCCCACAAGGGCACAACATTTTTTGTTTTGTTTGTTTTTTAAAATATTAAGTAAAGTAGAAGTGGGGTTTTTTAATTATTTTTCCCCACACAACGGGCGCTGTGCGCTGAGCAACCCATATCCCTGCATTTACCAACACCAAATCATTTGGTAGGCCATGAAATGGCCCAATGCTTGCCATACCATGGCAGTTATCAGCGACCCCAGGGTCATCAAAAGGATAGGACAGAGGCTTTTAGGTCAAAACATCAGCCCGTGCTAAAACACGCCCACACAGCACGCCAGGCGTGTCTGGGGCACAGTGCGCTGCGCCGCACTGGAGTTTTTAGTTTTAAGTTGTATGTCCTAGTATAAGTTATTGTTGTATATATTTAAGTTTGAGGGGGGCTTAACCCCCCTACCTGAATTTGTACAAACATGAGCAATTATTGAAATAAAGATTTTTGAGTTGAGTTGAGTAACATTTGAAATCTGTCAGTTCTTTACTCTGATTGGTTGATTTTTTAAAATTCGTCTGCAAAAAGAAAAAAACACTCACATTAGAATTAGCTCAAAATTTGCATAAACATTCTTCGATCGATTATCTACAATCCAAATATTTCAGTTTTTCGATATTTTGCGAGTTCTTAGAAATAATCCATAACGACTATAAGTATACGCTTTTTATTTCCAGAAAAACGCGAATTATCGAAAAACTAAAATATTCGGATTGTAGCTAGACCATTGACCTATTAACACAGATAGACGGAACTTTAAACAATAATATAGATTAACTACATCCCAGGAACTGTTGGATAAACTGATATTCATATCAGTGAAACAAAAATTAATAAATTAAACTTTGATTATTAGCCTATACTTTGCTAATTTATATCGCAGCTATGGATGACTGAATGTGTTTATAATAGTTTTTATATGCAAGGTAAACAGATGAGGAATCGTTTACTTAAGAAAGGGTTTGTAATTCTTTGTCTTGATGTTGAGTCAGTTCGTATAGTTATTTCTATGTGTTCACACGCTCTGCTTTCCACGCTGTGTTCGATATAATAAATATATTGAATATCGATAATTAACAAGTTCTTTTATTTCTTAGTCCATTTCCCAACAGGAACCGCATCTCTCCCCACTACTTATTAATCCTTGTGTTATTTTGTATCTTTCTCTAACACGTGGAAAGCGATTATTTTTCAATGAAAATTAGCAACGCTGCAACAAAATAAATTGCACCTCGAATTCCACCTTTCCACCAATCAGCAGCTTCTATTCAATTGTCATGTCAAAATGAGACCTACCTGTATTTTATGGCAATTTCCATTTGTCAATCAGTGCGCACCGAGTGTATCCGCATCTTTTTCTAAAATCATGTAAAATATAAGGATAAGGATACACTTTTGTAGCACTGATTCTGGTTTCATTTTCAGAGTTGCCAAATATGCGATAGTGAAGTGGGGGCGGAGTTAGCAGAAGCATTTGATACCCTACTCCTAACCACTTTCACAGCTCACCCCCCCTGGCCCATGAACATGTAGTCAACCAAAACAAAGCTATTTTATCAATGGGATGTTCCGTCTATCTGTGTCAGTGATGTGCCTGTAGACAATGTCAACGTAAACAATTGATTGTCTACGTGTAGACAATTCGAATTGTTTACGTGGGCATTTGTCTACACATTGTCTACATGTGACGTCAATAAACTTATTTTAGAAAATTTAAAAAAAAGTTCCAAAATTACTACTACCTAAGTAGCTTATACCTATCACTTTGATATTAGCATTCACTGATTATAAATATGAGGAAAACCGATAATAAAATAAAAATAATTCTCGAAAAGGAAAGTGTGAGGTTAGAATTAAACGTCATTTATATTATTTTACATTGTTGACGCGTTGTCTACATTGTCTACACGTAAAGTAGACAATGAAAGTCTACGTGTAGACGCACATCCCTGATCTGTGTTAATAGGTCATTGAGCTAGACCATCAAATTTGTAGACGAATTGAAAAAATCCACGCAGAAGTCGCAGAACTGACGGATTTCAATGTCATTCACGCCCCTTCAAGTGCGCTCTTATGTATCTCTATTATTTTTTTGTATTTTGTTGAAAGGTTTTATATTTTGTAATCAGTTATTATGTACTTTTGAAAATAAAGCTGAACACAAAAATAAGTCTGCCCCCTCTAAATGTTTGGTTGCCCCCTCTGAAATCAAAACCTGGCTAGAGGCCTGGATCAGCTGCTGAGATCTCCTTGAAGCAAGAAAATCAGTACAAATGATCAGCCTAATCCTAATGGAATCGAGCACTCGAACCCCTCCTATACACACGTAATCTTTGAATATAAAACTACAGGAAGGAGCATAACTTCGAATTTGCGCGACCAAAATATGTGGAGGTTGCATATGGCCGACTAGTATTTCCGGTTTGGCAGTGGCGTATATTTACTTAAATATGATTGTCAATATTATGACTCACTCTTTTTCCACTAATTTCAGTACTTATTATCACTTAAAACCGCTAAAATCAATTAAACATCCACTTGAATGAGGACACAGCGAACCACCAAAACAAATGATGAGTCCATACTTGGAGGCTCAAAATGGCCGTTTCCGTCTCTGCGTTGTCTGTAGTGACAGATAGGAAACGCTCCTTCCTGTAGTTTTATATTCAAAGCACGTAATACACACTACACAGCCATTTTTGATTAAAGTAGAAAACATTCAAAATATGCAGTGCCGCCAATTTTCGAACGTACTCTTTTATTTTCCAGAATCTCAAGGTCGTTTTATATGGCTATATTTACATTTACATAACATAACCTGTAAAAATAAAAAAAATCTGAGGGATACTGGCTAGAGGTCAAAAGTAAAAATTTAATTATTCAATTTAATGAATAACTTAAATTAAAATCCCGCCGCTATGCGAAATCGTCATCGTTAACGCAATACAAGATTTAACATCGCTCGACAAGTTTGCGTTGGGTGCCACTGCCACATCCACTTTTTTTAGTAGTTCCTTGCAAGTAGTACTACTTTGGTACTACTAAAGTGAAAGCGGTTTATTTTCGTATTGTTTTGGAATGATGCTTTAAATTTGTTAATTAGTTTATTGTTTAAAATCCTAGTTTTTAAACTTTTAAAATGGCAAGTCCTAAAACTAGTCGGAAGGAATCTCTAGAGGTGAAGTATTATTTGATTGGATATAATTTCGTCCAAACGATAGGGTAAGTTGGATTATTAAGGCCATGTTTATGTTGAAGCTGTGATAAACGATAAAAGCAACAATACCAACGATACTTTACATTAGTATCGTTGCTTTTATCGTGTATCACAGCTCCAACCTCGGCCTAAGGCATAATTTTATAATATATATAAATTCTTTATTTAATCAAGACTAATTTACAGTTATACAGTTACAGTTATGAATTGAAATTTTACTATATATGATAATGTATATTTTGCATTGACTCACAACTAAGAACAAAATGGTTTTATGATAGAATCAAACTATTTCATGTTCAGAGTGATTTTTTTTCTAGAACTTAAACAAACAGTACCTTTAGACCCCCCGAATGCTAAATGTTTTAAACCTAATTATAAAGAACAATAGTTAATTGAAAATTAAGGCAATTAATTAACTTGATAATAATAATAATATATATAAAAACACTATTGAATTTAATATACCTACATGTAATTTTTCCTCTTTTCAGTTGGTCCATAATATTCTACAAACTCATCTTTTATTACCTGAGTCCAGGCACAAAAACTCTATACGACACAGTAAGATGCTCACTTGATATTTTCCAAAATGCTGCTGTATTGGAAGTTGTGCATGCTGCAACCGGCATGGTTAAATCCAGTCCCATTATGACAGCATTTCAAGTGGGCATACTAGTTTTTGGAATAATTATTATTATAATTTTTGAAACATTTTTAGGTAGCTTCAAGGGTTGTAGTCGTATGTGGCGTTTTAATGGCCACAAATGCAGCCAGAGAAGGTCTCGGATTGCCATTAGCCCTTTTAGCTTGGTCTATTACCGAGATAATTAGATATTCTAATTATTTTTTCAATTTGATTGGTTCAGTGCCATATTTTCTCAAGTATCTAAGGTAACTATTAATTTGGAATATTCCATACATCAAGTGTGCTATATGAGTAATTAGGTATCAGTAGATGTAAAACATATTCACTTAGGGCTAATTGAACATTTGTTGGTACGTGCAAATTTTCCTAGAAAATTGTACATCAAATATTGACGGTTGAAATAATTGGCAAATTGTTACCTATTGGTAAATAAGTTGATTTGTATACATAAACTTTTGTCATCTTTATTAGATGGTAATTAGTTTTTTTTTAAGAGTAATAATTGACTAGCTACGTAACATAAATTATCAATTAATGGAATAATTCAGGAAATAATTACTGGAGGTCAAAAAACACCAAAGTTATTAATTATTATTGCTAATATTACTACATGCATTCACTCATGTATTCATTATAGCAAGGTAAAACTCATTAAAAAGGCTTCACAAATATGGTTTCTTGATTTTTTTAAAATTATTTAACATAAGTGATTCCTGATGTTTTGTGTCCTGAACGAAATTTACAGGCAATTAAATTGTTTTCTCTAAATTTAACAATTTACCGCATTCATTAATATCGCAAAACATTAGAATTTAAACTATAAATATGTACATAATTGTATGTAAATTGAAAAGGTTAAAATTGCTTGCTACTGTCTATTGTATTGAAATATTTTGTTTGTAATTCGTGTTTAGCTTTTTTGAACTTTATAATGAAAGTAAATACTTAAATATCATTACAAAGGTGCTTGTTATACAGGGTGAGTATAGGCGTCTAGTCAGAAATTCATATCAAGAAATTACTATTGAATTATCATTATAAAATCCATGGCTTTTCGATTAAATTTTGGGTAAAAATTTGATAATTTTATGAAGCTTAAACGTTCATATCATTGAATATTAAAGTTTAGTAAATACATTTGGTAAAAAAAGTTATCAAAGATATCAAACAACGTCTGTTTAAGACAAAGACATGCATGTTTATTGATAAATTTTGAAACAACAAGAAAATAATAAAAAAACGAATTTCTAGTATGTTATGGAATTGAGCTTTCCAGAACAAAATATTTCCCAAAAAGTTTGGAACAAAAATCTTGGCAGATTTCAGTTATCAAAGGGAATTTACAAATGGTTCGTTTTAAAATAAATAACTATAAGTTAATAGTATATTGTTCTCGTTTTTGCAATAATTTTATAACTATACCTACGTATTTTGCTTTTATTACATTATATTAAGCAAAATTTACATAATTTTGTGATAAACTATATTTTTCATTGTGCTTGACAGAATTAAATTATAATTGGATTCAAAAGAATGTATTTAACATGCAAAATCTTAATAATTCACTTTCGTCACTAATGACGAAAGTTAACGTTATGGGATATTCTATCACTACTAGTGACGAAAATGACGTTTTCGGCAAAGGTAAAATATGACGCAAGTTATTTATTTTTTAATAGTCATAGAAAAAAAAAATTCTATAAGGTTTATTTCAACCCGTCAAAAAACCGTCCCAAAACAATTTCGGAACCACTCTGTATACGAATTTCGATTTCTACGCAAAAATTTTAGGTTTTGGGCAGAAACCCGATGACAATATTAAGGATTCCTGCTGGCAGTATTGCCAGGTCATATTTTGTTTTGTCACTAGATTACCAGTCTAAATATCAGTAGAAATCAGTAGACAGATAAGTTGCCTTGTTAAAGGGGTAAACCATTAGGGTATACTCAATTAATTGTTTTAACTAAGTTTTTTCAAATCATTAAATCATTAGACTGTGTATTAGACTATGAAAGCCTGCATTAGAAAATCAAACACCAATACTACTTATGAAAAATAGTTTATTAAGATTAAGACATATGAGATATTCCTTTAAATATGCACTACCTATGGAATGCCCTATTATTTGGTTTTATATTCTTGAAGAGTACAATTTCCCGATTCCAAAACTATACAAGTTTGTCTGTATTTTGTTGAGCCGTCTTCAACATATTTGGTTCTAAAAATTTTAAAAATACTATCAGAGAAACCAAGTACCTACCTCAAATTTTACCTGCAGCTTTCACCTGTACAGGTAGAATGGTTCACAAAATCAGTATAGTAGGATGGTATTTTTAAAATTTTTGGAGCCGAATATATGAGAGACTGTTGAATCAAATATAGACAAACTATATATTTTTGGAATCAGGGCATTGTGCTCTTCAAGAATATAGAATGAAATATAGGGCATCTCATTTGAAAAAAGCTGGAAGTATGCAAAATTTCACATTTCTGATATTTAAATTTTGTTTCTGATCATGGTTTCTAAAAATTCAACCAAAACTGTACAACTTTTGTATTTACACCTTTTTTCTACCTGTAAAAAGAGGTAGGTGGAGTGTAGTATCAATATATATAAAAAAATACCCTGTATGAATAAGTGGATTATTGCGGAACTTATGGGTGAACCTCTGCGGGACGAGCGCAGCGAGTTCCGCAGCCATCTACTCACCAATATAGTGTTGAATAGTTCAAAGAAGACATTCACCTGGAACATGTAGTTTTTAAACTAATGAGAATAACTCACATTTGAGTGAGTCAGGTTAGTATCGTAATTAAACAACATATTGATGAATAGATGGCTGCGGAACTCGCTGCGCTCGTCCCGCAGAGGTCCACCCATAAGTTCCGCAACAATTCACTCATTTGTACTTGAATAACTTGACACAATATATTACTAGTTTGGTAAAGTAACATTACTAATTTCTGTTGAAAGGCGAATTGACAAGAAGTGGATAATCTTACAAATTCTGACTTTATATAATAAGTTATTGTTCAAGTACAAAGAAGTGGGTTGTGGCGAAAATTATAGGTGGACCTCTGCGAGACGAGCGCAGCGAGTTCCGCAGCCATCTACTCACCAATATATACTGTTGAATTGTTCAAATAAGACATTCACCTGAAACATGTAGTTTTTAAACTAATGAGTCATATTTGAGCGAGTCAGGTTAATATCGTAATTAAACAACATATTGATGAATAGATGGCTGCGGAACTCGCTGCGCTCGTCCCGCAGAGGTCCACCCATAAGTTCCGCAACAATTCACTCTTTTGTACTTGAATAACTTGTCACAATAGGTATATTACTAGTTTGGTAAAGTAACATTACTAATTTCTGTTGGAAGGCGAATTGACAAAAAGTGAATAATCATAATCTTACAAATTTTGAGTTTATATAATAAGTTATAAGTTATTGTTCACCTCAATTGAGATACTGTAAATTAGAGAATTGTTATTTTTAGGGCTACAAAAAAGGTTATTTAAGATTTCGAGACTCCGAGCTCAAGGGCTTCGTTTTCCAGAAAAACGGCTTTTAAACTTTTACAAAATGTAAGACAAAGTTTCAACTTTGAGCCTCAATTCCTCAAAAACTATTTGAGTTATAAATTTAAATCTTGTTTCATCTCAAACAGCATTCAATTCTGATTATAAAAATATAATATTGTATTGGAATTTGTGAAATATGTATTAACAAAGCTGTGGGCGATTTTATGAGGCAATGTCAAGAAATCAAAACATTTTAAGACCAAAAAAGCACAATCAATTGCAAAAACGCTTTTCCACTAATTTTGACCTCCTCTTCCGATTAGTAAAGTCAAAAAATTGAATGATGAGCGATTTTGTGAGGATAATCAACATTTTTATGGCCAAAAATGATAATAAATATAAATTTTACATTCACTTGAGCATGACATATTATGCGTTACAGTTAAATTTTACTTTATTTTGACTTGAAAAAACCTATAAATTATATAATTGCATATTTGTACTTTAACTTTATACATATAACTGTGTTTACTGGGAACTTTGTTCAAAATTAATTTATTTGTGTACAGACTAAATTTGTTAACATTAGAGCTGTTTCTAAAAGATATAGCTCAAGAAATAGATACATTTGGAAAGACAAAAAAAAAACTAAATTTTCTGTTATTACCTACTTTTGTCTTTTCCCTGTTATTAATTTCAAATTTCTCTTAGAAAACAAAAAAGTGCTAGTGGATAAACCGACAGAAGGCTCCAAGAAAATATGATATTCATCTGAGAAAGACTTTTGCTGCTAATTTTACAAATAGATTGCAAATTTTCTAACACTTATTCAACTATTACCATTCTGGGTACCTATTCATTATTCATCCTAGAACATTTTGTAAGCCATTGAAATCTTGATTGTTCAATTTTGGTGTCTTTTGTGTAAGAAAATCTCAAAAAAATTACAGAAAGAATTCACAATACATTAACTACTGATGTAAGAAAAGTTAATAATTTGAATATTAAAAAAAAAAGAAAACCAACAAACCATAGTGGTTGTACCAAAAATGTTTTTGTACTTTTAAAGTAATTGTCTTGTGTTAATTTCCAATTCTTTTTTTTCAGATACACAACTTTCATTGTTCTCTATCCAATAGGAGTAACAGGCGAATTACTATGCATTTTCAAAGCACAAAACGAAGTTGGCCAAAGACAATTGTACTCGATGAAAATGCCAAATAATTACAATTTCATTTTCAACTATCAGCATTTGTTGTGGTTCTTGATGCTCTTATACATTCCACGTAAGCAATTGAAATTTGTTTACAATGTTTTGATTTTGCTTTGTTTTTTTTGCAGTGTTCCCTCAACTTTACCTGTACATGTTTGGTCAAAGGAAAAAGGCCTTAGGAAAACAGAAATCAAATTAGGAACAAATTAACATAGATCTAATTGAGACTGAACTGTAAAATGTAAATGATATTCATTTTTTATTGATCTTGAAGTTGGAACACAGGCTTATTAAATAAATAATTTCAGACATGGCATTATATTTGTAAATTTCCTAAAGCCCTTTGTACTTTTCTGGAATGCCTACTTCTAGATTGGTTTAGGGCATGTTCCAATTCGTTGGCTAAATGTAAAAGATTTGTTGGGTCGGTTTGCAATATTTGATGACTAATTTCAGAGCCAGTTTTCAATGCCAAATCCATCGTTATCAATGGGGTAACTTGTTGAAGCATTGATCTAGATGCAAGCTAAAAATTCACTTATTAATACATTTAATTTGCAATATTCCTAAATATTTAACTTGAACTTCAAATCTCCATTGTAAATCGTGGTAGTGCGGTCCAGTCAAACCTTTTGTGTTTATTTTATGGATTAGTGATTTTTTTGTGTCATAAAATTTACTGAGTAGCGTTTCTTGGTTCTCTGAAAATCCTAGAGTCAGGACGGAGTCCCTAAAATCAGCTTCACTTAACTAAAAATTGAAATTCTATTAGTTGGTTTTGGAGATAAGATAATTCACAGCTACCTGGTGTTTGCAAGCTATCAAAAGCAAATTTATTAATCCGTAAATACAATTTTCAATTACGTCTACTGTAACATCTAGTTTCGATGCTGCTGTGCTGAAGAGTTTTGCAGTCGGACCGTTTTCTAAGAAATCGGAAGCGAGTTTGCAAAAATCGGCAACAACTGGAATATGGAAAACATAGGACTATTTCATTTAGGGCCGGTTTTTTCATCTTCAGATAAAGACTGTAATTATGTTTATGATTATGCAAATGTTGTATAAACCTGCCATTACTGGTAACTGACTAAACATTGGATTGCTATAAGATAAATTTACCAATCTAGAATCCTATTGGCCCGTAGATAAATGGCCGACCAATAGGATTATAGATTGCGTGGTTATCTATCCGTCAGATTGCATTACTTGACAGTGGTGAATAAACCAGGCCTTAGGAATAAAGTTATATAAAATTACTCTACCTTGTTCTGGTTGAGCAGTGAGCAGCTGCAGGTGTTCCTTGTGGTCGTTTCTTAGAGAAATTAACATTGCGTTGTATTTATTTCAAAATTTTAAACTTATATTTCCAAAAGAAAACATCAAAACCAAAACAAAGGCTGACTCGTGCCGGCGTTGCCAGGTCAGGCAAAGCAAAATTCCTGAAAAAAAAATTGTTAAAGATAAGAAAGAAAAAAATCGAGTTGAGCTTCATTTTTCTTATTAACCTGGTTTGATTAAATGTGCTATTGCTATTGATCACTCTTAGAACAAACAAAAATCATAATAATGGACATCTTGTCCTTGTGAAGGTGAAATAAATTAAAGTCGTGAAATCTCACGGATAATTGAGAAATGTGGCAATGTTTATCGTGAGAAATTATAAGATTTTTTATCAGTAGCTTTGTATCTATCTATTCCAATTTTCTACCAACGAGGTTCCATGGTGTAATGGTTAGCACTCTGGACTTTGAATCCAGCGATCCGAGTTCAAATCTCGGTGGAACCTGAATCTTTTTTTTGTTTTTACACCACAATAATAACTGTAATAGTTTAAAATTAGTTTTTACTTGGGGGTCATCAATCAATTCCTATTTATTAATCTCCCTTTTTTTATCCAGCGTAATTTATGGCTTTTATCAATTGAAAGGTGTTTGTTTTGCGCTTAATTCTGCGACATTTTAAATCTTTTTTTACTTTGTTTCTAGGGATTTTGGTGTTTACTGTTTATCAATATATGGTAAACGAATAGGTGCCTTTCAATTTTTTTGTGAGGAGTAGATAAATGTACAGGGCCGCATCACCCATTAGACCCGTGCCTAGGGCAGGGCCGTAGCCAGGGGGGGCAATGCTCTATCTTTCAAATGATCATGCCCTACCTTTAAAACGCAACATGCTTTAAGGTTTCTCTAGGAATTTTAGGAGTAGATAATGAAAAGGCCTGAAATCGAGTAAGTGCGTGGATAAGTGTTTCCGAGAATCCGAAAATCCCTAAATGTATGCAACAATGTTTGACGTTTACACAGAGGAAGTTTTTCGTTTCGAAAGAGTGCAAATGCAAGGATAATACGATAATACATACTACTACACAGGATTGCTTATCGGCCTCATTTGTGGAAATTGCGGCACTATTATTGACGACATCATCAACTACGACGTCAGCTGTTTGCGCCAGCGGTCGTAGTTTAGAATATACATTTATGATGAAAAATGTTATGACGGGATCATAACCTGTGAGAAAAACACTCTACGTCAAGGCGAGAAGATAGTAGTAGTAGTTATGGCGAAAACCATTAGTGGAATTAGTGCAAAAAACAAGTTTCTGTCACTTTCTTTTACATCATGCTAGAAGACACGGATGCACTCAGTGCGCGCTGAACTTACCGATGGATTTCACTATCAGTGTGTATTATCCTTTGTGCGAAATGGTCCAAGGTCCAAGCCAGAGATCCAAGCGCCATTTTTTTTTACTTGCCAGAGATGTTATTTATTGAAAAATTTTTCTTCGGCGCTATTACCACCAGATTGTTTACCTATAATTTAAGGGAGGGGGGGGGGGGCAAGTAGTGTATGCCCTATGTCAAATTTGTCATGCCCTATCACAAATTTGACTCTAGCTACGTCCTGGCCTAGAGCCCGTAAGAAAAGGGGCCCACTCCGCTGTGTATCCATAAACCATATAGATATAGACAGACGTCCCTTCCTCGTTGCCTCATTTTCTCAAAAAAGCTTCAAATTGGCTATAATATTACTTAAGAGGCAGCAATAAATCTGTGTAGTTCTCTATCTCAATTTGTTCAGACAGTTTAAAATTTATGGGTCAAAGAAAAAACACTTTGTTAAGAACTCTCCCAGTCCTCTGTGTTTAGCCCAGTGTTCTGGCCTTTTACTAGGCCTTTTAAAAATGCCCAAATGAAACTTGTTTATATTATAAAATTAATCTGATTTTCTCAATCATTAACACGATGTATAGAGAATTAGGCAGCTTTAAAAAAAGCTTTTGTCGTCCAAATTTTGAATAATATTTTCCAATTTTTCAGTGGCTTTATCTCACCCTTCTACATAATTGCTTCAGCATGTTGAATTCTCTTCCACCAACATGGAAAATCCACAAAAACAACAAACTACCCCTAATAGCATAGAAACGGTAAAAAAACTTCTCAACGTCGGAATGTTTTAATGTCAATTAAAATAACTGAGAACGTCCAATAGACGTTTTTCTCTAGTGCAAATGTCACAACTTCAAATGTTATACAAACGTCGAAAGTGGACGTTTTTAAAAAGCCGTAATAATGTTTATACAATGATGATATACGAACGTTTTAAAGACGTCTTTTGAAATGTCTACTGATGGTAAGTATTCAAGAACGCCCATTGGATGTTTTCGTCCATATATGTCCATATTTATCTATATACCTACATATTTTTAATGGTAGTCTTGAAACGACCACTCTACTATCTTTTATATTTATAACTTTTTATGAAAACATACTTTTTAGTACCCGAAAAAAGAGGTTTTGAAACGTTTTCAATAATGATTTGAAACATAATAAGGAACTTTAATGAAAAACTAAATTCATTATTGTTTATTGCAAACTGTGGGAAATCGAAAAATAGTACCTACATTATATACCTAGGTAGAGAAGTTGGTCATTATAATGCGGAAGGTATATAATGACTTTCTCTACCGAGGGATAAATAGAATTTTTTTTACTACTGCTAGTAGAAAATAAAAGATAGGTTTGAAACATGTGCTCAAATTATTTTCTCTTGTCGGAAATGCTACCCTCTATCAACAGCTTACGGTAATTTCCTATTATGTAGGTACAGTTGCGATCAAAAAAAAGTAGTACAAGAAAAATCTCCAAAATCTCCTTGTCTATTATACCTACATTAATTTAATTCATAACCAAAAATGATATATTTTTGACATTTTTCGACAAGTTCTTGACCTAAAAAGCTTCAGATGACATTATTTTGACATTTTTCCACCCGTTTTTAACTTAGAGCAGGTAAAGGTAAAGGAGTAGTAACCTGGATTTGGAAAATGAAGCCGTTTTTTTCCAGGTATCTTGGCCCACAAAAAATGGCGGTTATGGCAATTCAATGCTCTACCTGTATTTTGGTGCCAAACACCTGCCAAAAACTTGGCTTCACTTTAGTTTCATAAGCAGAATGGCGCGTTCCTACTCCTTATGTCCGTAGGACAGCGCTTTACCTACTCTAAGGTTTTTAACCTAGAATATGTCATTGCCTGTCAAAATTCTGTATGCTACACCGGGAGCTCAAATTGGAGCTAATAATTTTTGTACTACTTTTTTTTATCGCAACTGTACATACAGGAACCTGCTTTTTTAAAAATTGACAGTTTGACACTGAAATTAAACCAATAGAAACTTGTTACGTTATGACAATATCCTTGCGTCATGACGTCATTTTCATTATTGACCTAGGTATTTTTTCATTATTTTCATTATTAACCTATAGGGAGAGAAATTCAATTTTTTCCCAGAAAAATTGATGGAATAATGACTACTTCTCAGGTTAGTAGTAAAAAATAGTATATTATATACCTAGGTAGAGAAGTTGGTCCTTATATACCGAGCGCTTTTATAAACCGAGGCGCTAGCGCCGAGGTTTATAATGAGTGAGGTATATAATGACTTTCTCTACCGAGGAATATATAGAATTTTTTTTACTACTGCTAGTAAAAAATGAAAAATTTGTTTAAAATCTGTGCTCCAATTATTTTTTTTTTGAACGCCCTCTTGAAATTGTTGCCCTCTATCAACAGCTTATGATAACTTCCTATGTACCTACAGAAACCTGTATTTTTTTTCAAATTGACCTATAAAAATGAAATTGAACCAATAGAAACATGACAATATCCTTGCGTCATGACGTCATTTTCATTATTAACCTAGGTATTTTTTCATTATTTTCATTATTCACCTAGGGAGAGAAATTCAATTTTTTCCTAAGAAAATATATTGAATAATGACAATTTCTCAGGTTAGTAGTAAAAAAACTACTTTACGCACTGGTTCGTGACATTTTATGTCTTCTAAAAAGTGCGTAACGTAAGTAGGTACTCTACGCGCGGTAATGGAAAAAACAATTATTGCGCCTTCACTTACAGTCGGGAATGAGAATGAGATGTTGTACCCATACTTATACAGGGTGGTCCATTTAAATTGAGACATTTCAATATCTCGAAAATGGCGCGTTTTTGAAAAAAAAAAAGTTTATTAATGTCTTAAGTTCAATGGCCCACCCTGTGTACCTATTGTATATCGTGTGCTAGAAACTTGAAGTTACCAATTTTTCATTGAATATGAAAATTTTGCAACTAAATAAAAGAAAAAGTAAAGTCTGTTTTTTTTTTAAGATAATTCCCCAAGTCAAAAATTTAGTAACTATGTAGGCAACACAAGCCTTCTCTACATAAAAAAAATTGAAAGCATCGACAATTTAACATTGTTTTGCCAAAACAATGTCATTTTGACTTTTATCTTTAAAAAAAAACAGACTAAAAATTCCGCTTTCCGCTTCTACCCTTTGCGAACGAAAATTTCCTCAAAAAGGCAAAAAGGGGATAATTCCGTCAAGCTGACAACACTGTGGCTGACTTGTTATCAAACGCAAGGATATCAACAAAGCATTTGATAGGTTGGATATAAGCCCCGCCCCTTCCCAATCAGATGCGAGTGATATCAGCAGGGCATTTAATTGGTTAGTTGAGCCCCGCCCCTTTCCGGGGTTTATGTATCGTCAAGGTATTTGATTGGTTGTTTCCTTTTCAACCCTTTCCAATGGCCCCGGCCCACCTACAGTGACTTAACCTTTTCAAATAGAAATAGAAATTCGGTACCGCCGTCATATACTTCCAAATTTTGAATATGAATATAGAAATTAGCCACGCCCCTGCCGTCATATTTTTGCAAATTTTTTGATGTTTAGTCAGAGGTATTATTATTATTATTATTAGGTATCTAAGTATATATTTATTTATCCTTTATTTTTCAATTTTTCCATCTCATATTTTGTCTATTTCCGGATCTTGAATTTTCGGTTTCTTCTTAATTTTTCTAATGGCCATTTCCACAAACTATTTTAGGGAAGCCCTAATAATAGGTTTGCCTTAAACTGACATTTCTCCATGTAAAAATGTCATTTTAGGGAATACTTATCGTTAGGGCTCCCCTAAAATAGTTGAGGTTTACAGGGTCTCAATTTGAAAACTTCCCACCCCTATTTTCTCAGAGTAGATGATTTGGAAATGGGAAATGTATGTAAGCTGGTTGTATCACAATAAATTAAAAATAAATATAGAAAAAACCAACTTTATGATAATTAAACAAAAAAATAAACAACTACAGGAAATAGATATAAAAATTAACAACGTTAGGCTTAATAAGGTTCAATATATGAGATATTTAGGGTTAGTTATTGATAACAATCTAAACTGGTCAGAACACATAAAGCAGATCTCTGACAAAGTAACAGGAATGATACCGGTAATATATAAATACAGGGATTACTTTTCAAAAAAAACTAGACACAGTGTGTACAATGCCTTTTTCCTCTCTCATTTTCGATATTTGCTGCCGATATGGGGAACATGCGGAAAGACAATGTTTAATGCAATTCAAATAGGTAATACAAAACAAAATTCTGAAAGTTCTGTTCAAATATGATAGACTAACCTGTACAGAAACTTTATATAGACAATTAAAAATTTCAAAGCTTGATAAAATATTGGAAGTGGAACAAACTAAACTTATATACAAGATCATAAATAAAACACAAAAGTCTAAATATTGTATTTTCAAATAATGTTCATAGTTATGATACTAGATCGCAGGAAAATATTTACCAGATAGTAGTAAGAACAAAAATAGGTTCAAGTAATCCTGTAATACAAGCAAGTAAAGCATACAATCAAATACCGGAAAATATTAGGAACATAAAAAATTATAAATTATTTATAAAGCAAGTAAAGTTAAATTTAGAAATACCTATTATAGAATGGTGAAATACAATATTATAGAATCCGTCCAGCACTGTGGCATAGTTTTAATTGTAGTATTCTCGGGGCCAGAGCTTCAAGCACTGTTTAGAGAATTATTTAATTATTGTTATAAAAAAATTTGATAAAATAAAATAAAAGAATGTTTTCAAAAAAAAAAAAAAATCTTCCCTCTTTCAACGCCGCAGCCCCCAGAGCCACCCCCTAGAAAATTTTAAATGGGAAGGGGGGTCAAGTGATTCATCATTTTGCAGGGTTTTTAATTCCATACATTGGTACTAAATTTTAGTCCCTAAGTTCAACTGTTTTGGAAATATTGACAGTTGAAAATTGACTTTTTTGCTACTTTGACAGGCTGTAAAACCTAAACGGTTAATTTAAGAGGAAAACCGATCTTACATTCTTATCTTAGATTTTCATAAGCTGCGTCTCATTTGTGACTCTTTTTAGCAGGTTTTACGAACCTATAGAAAACGTTCCTAGCGGAAGTTTTAAAAACAACTTAAATCCAACGTCTAAACAACGTCCGTTTTATATACCTAATCAAAAACACTCCCACATGGACATTAAAATAACGTTCGTATAAGACGTTGGACTGTTATAGATTTCTAAAACCTCCCACAACAGTAGAAAATAGGAAATAATAATTCAAGTCAGAATAAGAAGGCATTTGGATCAGTGAACAAAGACATTCTAGACAGCTTTTGGGCGGCTGATGCCACATGCCACATTTAATCAATTTATATTGATTGATTAATGTATAATAAAAAAAATCCCAAAATATTTCTTTAAGTATAAGTACTTTACTTATTATACATATTATTTAGCAACAAATCGATCATCTTTTGTTTCCTATCAAATTTAAATTAAAAATAAATAATTAAGAATCGTAATTTACAACTTCGCTGTCAATTTGAAGTAATTATCTTAAGATTATAAAACAAAGATAAAATATTTGCTCGATTATTTATAGGCAATGAACTCTTGATGATACCTAGTTTACTACAAAGATGGTGTGTTTAATGTTAATGGTCGTAGCAGTTCTGCCCATTTTAGGCAGCTTAGGCAAGGTAAGACCAGACTCAAAAAGGCGACTATCTGTGAAAATTCTAGAACTGTTTCCTATTGAGAATGTCTAGATTGGACCACCTTGTACAGGGTGGCCCGTTTAAGAGGGGCCTATACCTTATCTCGAAATCTACAAGGGCTGTGAAAAAAATTTAAATACAAAAGTTGTTTCTAATAAAATTATCTACAACTTTTTCAGGGTGGACAAATGAAATTTTATTTTTTTAAATGGAACACCCTATATTTCAATACATTTTAAAAAAGACCTTTGAAAGACAAATTCAACGATATACTGGTCATGTGTCTGTGATATACCGTTTCGAACTTATTAGCGATTATCTTCAGGACTTGGGGTCATCTTAAACAGTCATTGTTACGTTACTCATAAACTTTTTAAACTTTTTTTTGCATGATATTTTCTATAAAATAATGCTCTTCTTTAGACTATAGTCAAATTTGAAATATTTGTTTAAAAAAACGCGGTGTTGCCACGTTTTGCAAATTTTAAATTTTTCAATTCTTTCAAATGGGACCTCCTAGTTCTTGGATAGCCCTTTAAAAGACAATATCAACGTTATACTAGAAATGGGTCTGTGATGCATCGTTTCGGCCTGAAAAACGTGGCAACACCGGGTTTTTTAAACAAATATTTCAAATTTGACTATAATCTGAAGAAGAGCATTATTTTATAGAAAATATCATGCAAAAAAAAGTTTAAAAAGTTTATGAGTAACGTAACAATGACTGTTGAAAATTACGCCAAATCCTGAAGATAGTCGCTAATAAGTTCGAAACGGTATATCACAGACACATGACCAGTATATCGTTGAATTTGTCTTTTAAAGAGCTATTTAAAAATTTATTAACATATAGGGTGTTCCATTAAAAAAAATTAAATTTCATTTCTTCACCCTGTATATAGTAGAGTGACACCAAAAAAAATACAAAAAAGTTGTAGATAATTTTATTAGAAACAACTTTTGTTTTTAAATTTTTTTTACAGCCCTTGTAAATTTTGAGATAAGGTATAGGCCCTTCTTAAACGGGCCACCCTGTACGTAATGACAAGTTTTTGAAACAAAGCATAAAAATTTCCAAACTTTTTACATTCAAATATACTTACTCTACTTTATATCTACTTAAATACTCTGCGAAAGATTTTTTGGGAATTTTCTCATTTTGGTGAAGCGCTTCTTTCTACCTACTTTCATAAATGAAAATATTGTCCATGTAAATCCTTTATTCCAAAAAAATTAAGATTACTGGATGATTGAGATTAATTTGTTTGTATATTGTATTTGAACTTTGTAATCCCTGAAAAATTAAATCAATCATTTATTATTATCATCTGCTAACAATTAAGCTGTACTTGAGATAGGCTTCCAATAAGGTATACCAGGATTTGTACCTTTGTAATGATTTTCTGTTGTTTATTAGGAACGTACCTTCTTACTAAAACTATAAAATTTCCAATTTTTTTTTGTTGAGATTTTGTATCCCAATGGTCCTTCGTGATCTCCTTAACTCCATAAACTAAATTATTCCGAGATTTGAAGCCGGATTCTATGAAAAAAGACACTCAGAAGATTTTGTTCCTGCCCAATACCCGCGGATTTCCTTAACGCGATTTTTTCTTGGAATCTATAAGTCCAATTGAGCTAAAATTTTCAGGGACTGTAGCCCGCCAATGGGATAAGAATCGTTGAAAATTTCAGGTTTCCATCTATAATAGAAAAAAATTTATGCTCTTTCAAAGTTTTCCAAAATCTAAATTAAAGGTAGATCACCTTCTTACTTACTAAAACGATGAAATTTCAATTTTTTTTTTGTCGAGATTTTGTATCCTAATGGTCAATCAACATTCTCCAAACTCCATACACTAAATTATTCTCAGATTTGAAGCCGAAATCTATGAAAAAAGGCACTCAGAAAAATTGAAAAATTGATAAATCACCCCAAATTGCTTAACACGATTTTATTTCAGGAACTATAAGTGCAAATGAACTGAAATTTTCAGGGATTGTAGTCCCTTTATTGAGATAATTTTCAGTGACCTTTCTTACCTCAAATTTGGATGAATCATAAACCCTTGTGGAATTTCAAACTGTTTTAACTCGGAATTCAAAAACAAAATTTTTCTTTGCTTCATTCAGAATGCACTCTATTTCTCAACTAACTTTAAACTCTTTCTCATAGCTATTTTGTGTAATATTCACTGCTTCCAGAATTCTTTGAAGCCACTTTTTTCCATATTTTATCACCTCATAAAACAAGAGTAAATATCAAAAACAAAATCACTAATCAAACACTATAATCTATATTTTCAATCCAGATAATTCCAGAAGATGCTATCTCATCATTCGCAAATCACCCAACAGTAACCGTCTCAACTGGTCGACTTGTTGGTATCAGAGATGTAACAGCCGAACAAAGAATACCATTCAACGCTTTCATGGGTATTCCGTACGCGGAACCACCAGTTGGAGAATTAAGATTTGCGGTAGGGATTTTAAGTCGTTTGTGCCTTTAATGTTTACAATTTACGTTTCAGGCTCCAGTTAAAAAGTCCAATTGGTCAGGCGTTTGGGATGCCACTGAAGATGGCGACGTTTGCATTCAAGGATCAGGAAAAAATATAAGAGGCTCTGAGGATTGTCTTACTATGAACGTTTATGCGCCCAAGGTGAGTTTGAATCCTATATTCTCAAATTTGTAAAGTTTCTTTTCATCTAGAACGCCAAAAATCTACCAGTGATGGTCTGGATCCACGGTGGAGGATTCACAGGAGGCGAGTCCTTGAGAAGAGTCTACGGACCCGACTTTTTCCTCAACGAAGGCGTCATAATGGTGGCGTTGAACTATCGTTTGGGAATCTTTGGTTTCATGACCACACAAGATAAAACCGTTTCAGGCAACTGGGGACTTAAAGATCAAATTTTGGCTTTGCAATGGGTCCAAGAGAACATTCGTCAGTTTGGTGGTGATCCGGACAAAGTTACTATTTTCGGTGAAAGTGCTGGTGGAGCTTCGGTTTCTTACCTACTACAAATACCTAAAGCACAAGGTAATAACAATAATAAAGCGTTCCATATACCTACTGCATAATCTTTTTATGTAGGACTTTTTAGAAGCGCTATCCTCCAAAGTGGCACATCAGAAAACTTATGGGCTCTGACGACCAGAGGTAGACAGGCAGCTTTTCAAGTTGGTTACCAAATGGGCATAGCTACACTTTTATCAAGGACTCTAATGAATCGTTTAAGGCGAGTGGACGCAGATAAACTTCAGTCGCATGCTGCCAGCGTGCAAAACACAGCATACCTACCAAATCCATTACGGGGTTTGATTTGGGCGCCAACCATTGAAGTCGAAGGACCAGATGCTGTTTTCACAGCTAAAAGTGACGAGTATGTGAGGTCTGGAGCGTACCCTAACAAAGTGCCTGTAATGATTGGGTTTACTAGTAATGAGGCTGGACATGCACATGGAGTATCAGAATCTATTCGTAATGCTTTGGTTTACTTCGATATAGTTCCTAGTAACTTGGCACCATTTAGTTTAACTTCAAATAGCTCTAAAAGACGCGAAGCTGCAAGCGACATCAGGGTAAACTTCTATGGAGTCGATTCAATGCGACATCAATTTGATGCTGTAGTTAAGGTAAGAATTTTGCTTGGAATTTTAGAAGCTATACAATGTATTATTTTTCAATAGTTTGTAAACTCTGATCAATTTACCAGAGGAATTATCAGACACGCTGAAAACATGGTACCTTATTCTTCTGTCTACTTTTACATTTTCGGTTATATGGGCGACGCTGTAGGAGTAAATCCCTACGATGGTGCTGGACATGCTGAAGAATTAGCCTATATGTTCAAAAATAAAGGAGTTTGGCCTCATCCTCTCAGTAGTCAAGATAAAAGGTTTAGAGATAAATTAGTACGATTATGGGCCAATTTTGCCAAGACTGGGTAAGAATTTAAATTAATTTCGTCAACTATATTAAATGGCTCTTTTTTTTAGAAATCCGACCCCACATAGAGACGCTCTTTTAAACAACGTTATTTGGCCAACATATAATTCAAATAGCAGGCCATTTGTTTGGCTAAATTATACTCTTAGTACAAGTACAGGGCCTTGCGAGAAGGATTATGATTATTTTACCAGTGTTTTTAATAAATATGGTGATGGACCGTTTACTACTTACTAGGATAGAGGAGATATTCGATTTTAATATAAAATATATGCATGTATAATATAGGTTTGAACGAATAAGTAGTTTTTTTTTGAGAGTATGACTAGTGAAACATGAATTATTATCACACAAGGATGTTTCTTCATTATCTAGCACAAAGCTTCAAGTGGTCAAAAAATCAAAAAAAAAAATCAACATTTTCAAGCATTTTCCCACTAAAAAATAATCTGATAGTGATATATTCCAGAAGTTACACTGTATACAATTAAGTATAAAACACCCTCAATAGCACTTACACCTACAAGTGTTTTATACCTGTAAAAATTGCTCTGGCTTGTTTTTATAATCTAGTCGCAGTAATTGTCGCACTACTCAGTGTTGCCAAGTCATATTTTGTTTAATTATCAGTAGAAATCAGTAGACAGATAAGTTGCCTTGAGGGGTAGACCATTAGGGTATACTTAATTAATTATCTTAACTACGTTTTTTCAAATCATTAAATCATTAGACTGTGTATTAGACTATGAAAACTTGCATTAAAAAATCTAACGGATAATATTTTTACAATTTTTGGATCCGAATATATGAGAGACTGTTCAATCAAATATATAGTCAAACTATATATTTTTGGAATCGGGGCATTGTACTTTTCAAGAATATAGAATGAAATATAGGGCATCCTATTTGAAAAAAGCTAGAAGCATACAAAATTTCACATTTCTGACATTCAAATTTTGTGTCTGACCATGGTTTCTAAAAACTCAGCCAAAACTGTACAACTTTTGTATTTACACCTTTGTTTTACCTGTAAAGGTAAAGGAGGTAGGTGGGGTGTCAATATATAAAAAAAAACACCCTGTACAAATAAGTGGATTATTGCAGAATTTATGGGTGAACCTCTGCGGGACGAGCGCAGCGAGTTCCGCAGCCATCTACTCACCAATATACTGTTAAACTGTTAAAAAAAACACTCACCTGAAACGTATAGTAGTTTTTGAACTAATGAGAAAAATTCATAACTGAGTGAATCAGGTTAGTATTGTACTTGTATTTTGAACAACATATTGGTGAATAGATGGTTGGGTCCACCCATAAGTTCCACAACAATCCACTCGTTTGTACTTGAATAACTTACACAATACAAAGTTTGATAAAGTAACATTACTAATTCCTGTTGAAAGACGAATTGTCAAAAAGTGAATAATCATAATCTTACAAATTCTGACTTTAAATAATAAGTTATTGTTCAAGTACAAATAAGTGGATTATTGCGGAAGTTATGGGTGGACCTCTGCGGGACGAGCGCAGCGAGTTCCGCAGCCATCTACTCACCAATATAGGTACTGCTGAACTGTTCAAGTAAGACAGTCACTTGAACCATGTACTTTTTAAACTAACCAGAATAACTCACATTTGAGTGAATCAGGTTAATATCGTGATTAAACAACATATTGATAAGTAGATGGCTACGGAACTCGCTGCGCTCGTCCCCCATAAATTCCGCAACAATTCACTCATTTGTACTTACTTGAATAACTGATCACAATATTTTACTAGTTTGGTAAAGTAGGTAACATTACTTATTCCTGTTAAAAGGTGAATTGACAAAAAGTGGATAATCTTACAAATTCTGACTTTATATAATAAGTTATTGTTCAAGTACAAATAAGTGGAATGTTGCGGAACTTATGGGTGGACCTTTGCGGGACGAGCACACCGAGTTCCGCACTCCTCTACCCATTTGTACTTGAAGAACAAGTTGAATATTTATAGACGTACCAAAGGAATGTTTTGGTAATCTTATTAACTAAAAGCCGAGAATAGACAAAAATTGATCAGGGAAAATTGAGAAAAAAAGGCTCCCGAGTTTTCTTTATTTAGACAAATTCAAGAATCGGGAACAAATAAAAATCGATTTCAAACAAAATATTGCATTAAAAATATCGATATAGAAAAGAAGTACATATGGCCATCTACATCAACCGTTTTAAGGAAGTCTTAACCATAGGTATTCCCTAAAATGATATTTCGACATAGAGAAATGTCACTTGGTGCAAACGTGCTTCAATTCCCAAATTAACACCAAATAGGTACACTATTTTTTCGACAATGGTTCAAAAAGTACATACTTTCCAGACGTATTTCACCTTCTGGCCTAGGCAGGAAAATATATACCTATTTCCTTAACTGAAACGTGTCCGGAAAGCGTGTAATATCGTCAGTTTTCTTGGCTCAATTTTTGTCTATTCCCGGCTTTTGAATCTTCTTTCCTAAATTTCTCCGAATAAAGAAAATTCAAGAGCCTGGAATAGAAACAACATTCGAATGTGTAATGTAAGTTCAGTTTTACACATAAACGTGCGTAATTTTGAGTTTACAAAACCGACAAAACATGTTCAAGTCTGACATCATGATAATTTCAACTAGAAAATCTACATAATTTCCAGATTTCTATGAAAAATGTCGAAGCTCTCGAAGCCTGTTTAAAAAAAAAAACAATGGCCTGTAGTAGTATAACATACCCAGGTTCGTTCAGTAAGATTGAACGATGAGAATTTTTATTACCTTTAAAACAACAAATCTTCTGAAAAATGAAATAGGACCTACGTTGTGGATACTTACTCAAATTTACTTACTGGACATGCGCCCGACATAGCAAATATTTGGGAAATTTAAGGGAAGCTGTAATATGTAAAAGAAACGCAAAATTTGTGAAACGCCTCCTTTATTTTCAAAGAAAAACGTACCGTTCTCTACCTGGAATAAACGAGGAAAAAGAGAACGGAAGAGAAAACCTCGATTCCCCAAAAATCGAAACATACTGTCATTAAGGTGAATAATAATTGTGAGTCATTAATTTAATAAAAGCTGAAACTAGGTACCGCCTCTATTCTTGTGCTAAAATTTTAATTACACACACTATACATTCAATCAACACTACCTGTAATCAAAACTGAAGAGTTTTTGGTTAGTTAGCCCATCTGTGGCAGGTACGGAGCTCCCTGGTTACGTAAACTCACGGCTATAGTTGTTTTTGAGCCAATATCTCTTTCCTTTGTGCGGTAGGATATTCGCTCGCCAGGGTAGGAAAATGTTAGTAAATTCAACAGCACGCTCTGAATACTCAAAATCAAAAACTTAGCACAAAAAGACAGCACATAATTTCTTAAGTTCTAATTTACTTCTTTATCTGTGTTGTTTACAGTATGAAACGATTCTGGTTAAATACATAAACAATGCACATGTTATAAAAAATTTTATAAACAAACAAAAATGCATAAAAATGAACAAAATAATAGGAACTTGCATAAATTGAACTCTCAAAAACAAAATAATAATTAATCCACTAACCTGTACGTTCCTTGCACACACACTAATAACAAATTTGATTGAATAATTAATTTTAATGCAAAATAGGAATGATTATTGAATAATCAATAATTACAGACGCTCTATACGTTTTCTAAGGGGCCAGTCTCGCGCGTTCTCCATTCTAAAGCCTAATTGCCTATTTTCTTATGTCTCCTCTTCGCTTCGGTACTCTGTTGCGGCGAGTCCCGTTTCGAAAAACCTAAACTTGAGGGCGCATTACATGGTTGCAATATTTACTTTTATTACGTAAAAGTTTTTTTTAAAAAGTTATGATTTGAAAAAATGATATTTTAATAGGTGGTTTTCCTCAGACCTTCTTACTATCATTACAGAAATTTACAACACTTTGAGTGGTCACAACTCCGTGTGGAAGCAACTAAACCAAAAAATAGACGGCATTCACAACCACCAAACCAAAATCTATCAGAGAAATGAAACAAAATATTTTTAATTTGTCATGAAAAATCCTGAAAAATATTTCGGAGTATCAGATCAAATTTAAACTTTCTATGGATTTATTAATCTGGCTGTTTTCATCAAACAAGGCAAATTTGAAGTCAATCTGAAGTTCAGAAAAAAATATGAAGTTTTTTCCCAACTTAATACCAGAAAAAGTTGGAAAATAATAAAACTTCGTTAGTTATTCGATTCAGAACTAATTCGAAAGAGTTCGGATCCAAAATTTGAATTATATCTTTCGAGATTCATTAAATTCTGATGAATTTTCTGTTCCAGTTCTAGATTCGGTTTCTGGATCAGATCTAAACAAGTTCTACGGATATTGAAATCATCATAAGTTTTGTGTTTAAAGTCTATGATTTCTAAACTAGTTCCAAATTGGTTCTAAATGTGATCCGTGAATAGGAAGTAGTCATCTAATCACCAATATACTGCTGAACTGTTCAAGTAAGACATTCACCTGAAACATGTAGTTTTTAAAGTAATGAGAATAACTCACATTTGAGTGAGTCAGGTTAGTATCGTAATTAAACAATATATTGATGAATAGATGGCTGCGGAACTCGCTGCGCTCGTCCCGCAGAGGTCCACCCATAAGTTCCGCAACAATTCACTCACTTGTACTTGAATGACTTGTCACAATATATTACTAGTTTAGTAAAGTACATTACTAATTTCTGTTGGAAGGCGAATCGACAAAAAGTGAATAATCATAATCTTACAAATTTTGATTTTATATAATAAATTATTGTTCAAGTACAAATAAGTGGATTGTTGCGGAAGTTATTGGTGGACCTCTGCGGGACGAGCGCAGCGAGTTCCGCAGCCATCTACTCACCAATATACTGCTGAACTGTTTAAGTAAGACATTAACCTGAACCATGTAGTTTTTAAACTAATGAGAATAACTCGCCACATTTGAGTGAGTCAGGTTAAGTATCATAATTAAACAACATATTGATGAATAGATGGCTGTTGCGATTGTTTCAATACAAATCACATCGGGCAGACGCGTCGTTCAAAGGTCGCGTATGAAATTATTGCTGTGACATTTTCTTCAATTTAAAAAATATCATAAAAAGCAGGTAAATAATGACAACGGCTTTTATCAGTAGAATTTACATCGATATCAGTATATCAGTAGACCAGTGACCAAATCAGTAGACCTGGCAACACTGGCACTACCATACATTTTACATAGTTGGACTTCAGTTTAGTGATAAATCTATCAAATCTTATCTAAGTTTAGATAAGCTAGTGTGTGTGTGTTTTATAATATGGATCAACAACTAGTGACAAGAACTGACTGCGATATAGTCCTAAAAAAATCCGTAAACTCTGACCAGTTCGAGGTGGTCAATTTTAAATTGAAGCCCTTCGAGGACAAGGAAAGGGAATATTACAAAGCGGATTGTGTTTTAGAGGTCAGTGCTAAGATATCTAAAAATATCACCAGGTATCGATTCTTTTTAAAAAAGTTCACCACCAAATATGCAGCCTTAAATGAACTATTTGAAGAAATCAAAACTTCTGAACGTGAAATTCTATTTTACGAACGCCTCTTGCCATTGCTTGAAAATGGTCTAGAAAACTATCAAGCGGATTTCGTTCCAGCATTTTTCCATGCCAAACTCAACCATATAATGATACTGGAAGACATGTCATTGAAATACTTCACTGTAGCCAAAAAATCCAACCCTCATTTACTGGACAGATTCCATTTGAATTTAGCATTAAATGCTGTTGCCAAGTTGCATGCAGGTTCATGGGCTTATGAAGAAAAGCACAGAAATGCTTATGCACAAGACTTACTTTGTCAGGAACTTATTTGGACCGAAAATAATGAAGTAATTCAATCTGGCATTAAAGGTTTAAAAACGTTGCTTAACGAATACAAACAAACAGATTTGAATCAGGATATTGATAAGCTCACTGATAGGGTATTTGAAATAATGAAATTTCAAACTAAATTCAGAAACGTTTTGGGACATGGCAATCTTCATGCTAGAAATATGCTTTTCAAATACGACAAAAGCAACGTTGCAAAATGTGTTCTGATAAATTTTGGATTTTGCAAATACTTCTTGCCCGCCTACGACGTATTGACTCTCATTTTTAATTGCTCCAACAAATTGTTTCGTCAACATTACTTCACTTACCTGGTAAAATATTATTACGACATCCTCCAACAAGAACTATCAAAAGAAAACTTATCTGTAGAACAATTCATAAGTTTTGACGACTTCCAACAAACCATCAACTATCTAATGCCAGCAATAAAATTACAAACCATTCTGCATTTGCAAGACTTTGGTGCCAAATCAGGCTTTTACAAGCATCTACAAAAAGACGAAACCGCCTATAGAATGTATTTGTACCAAGACAAGTCGTTTTTTCTGTTGGAACTCTACAAAAAGGATCCAATTTTCAAAGACATGATCAATGAGGCTTTGGAAGAGCTCATTGAAACTTTGACAGTGCCCCAAGTGAGCAGGGAAAATTGCTACGAGATTCTGGAAAGGCAGGTTGAAACGATTTACGTTTTAGATAGTTTCAAATTGGTGCCAACTGGTGATGATAAGGATTTGTTCGAGCTTATTTTGGAGGTATCTGATGGACAGAAAAATGAAACTGTGAATAATTATAAGTATTTAGTGCAATGTGGGACTGATAATTTTTTTAAAGTACAAAATCATGTGATTGAATGATTTTGGGAAGTAAAAACGGCTTCATGAGAATGTAATTAAATAATAAATTATTCAGCAAGTGAGTTTTTTTGTATCCTAAGAATATTGAAATCTATTACACTTTCAGGATAAACCCCTTAAAAAAATGTGTATCATTGTTTGAGTGTAGATATATTGTCTATCTATCTATAATAGAAAAAAAGTTATGATCTTTCAAAGTTTTCCAAAAACTAAATCTTGAGGTAGGGACCTTCTTACTGAAATGATGAAATTTCAATTTTTTTAAATCACCCCAAATTGCTTAACACGATTTTATCTCAGGAACTATATGTGCAAATGAGCTGAAATTTTCAGGGATTGTAGTCCTTTGAAAGGGATCAAATTCAGTGAAAGATTCAGCTTTCTATCTATAATAGAAAAAAAGTTATGACCTTTCAAAATTTTCCAAAATCTAATCATAAGGTAGGTACCTTACTTACTAAAATGATGAAATTTCAAATTTTTTTTGCCGAGATTTTGTATCCTAATGGTCAATCAACATACTCCAAACTCCATAGACTAAATTATTCTCAGATTTGAAACCGAAATCTATGAAAAAAGGCACTCAGAAAAATTGAAAAATTGATAAATCACCCCAAATTGCTTAACACGATTTTATCTCAGGAACTATATGTGCGAATGAGCTGAAATTTTCAGGGATTGTAGTCCTTTGAAAAGGATAAAATTCAGTGAAAGATTCAGCTTTCTATCTATAATAGAAAAAAAGTTATGACCTTTCAAAATTTTCCAAAAACTAAATCTTAAGGTAGGGACCTTCTTACTGAAATGATGAAATTTCAATTTTTTTTTGTCGAGATTTTGTATCCTAGTGGTCAATCAACATACCCCAAAGTCCATACACTAAATTATTCTCAGATTTGAAGCCGAAATCTATGAAAAAAGGCACTCAGAAAAATTGATAAATCACCCCAAATTGCTTAACATGATTTTATCTCAGGAACTACAAATGCAAATCAGCTGAAATTGTCAGGGGTTGTAGTACTTTGAAAGGGATAAAATTCAGTGAAAGATTCAGCTTTCTATCTATAATAGAAAAAAAGTTATGACCTTTCAAAATTTTCCAAAATCTAAATCATAAGGTAGGGACCTTCTTACTGAAATGATGAAATTTCAAATTTTTTTTTGTCGAGATTTTGTATCCTAGTAGTCAATCAACATACCTCAAACTCTATACACTAAATTATTCTCAGATGTGAAGCCGAAGTCTATGAAAAAAGGCACTCAGAAAAATTGAAAAATTGATAAATCACCCCAAATTGCTTAACACGATTTTATCTCAGGAACTATAAATGCAAATCAGCTGATATTTTCAGGGATTGTAGTCCTTTGAAAAGGATAAAATTCAGTGAAAGATTCAGCTTTCTATCTATAATAGAAAAAAAGTTATGATCTTTCAAAGTTTTCCAAAATCTAATTCTTAAGGTAGGGACCTTCTTACTGAAATGATGAAATTTCAAATTTTTTTTTGTCGAGATTTTGTATCCTAGTGGTCAATCAACATACCCCAAACTCCATACACTAAATTATTCTCAGATTTGAAGCCGAAATCTATGAAAAAAGGCACTCAGAAAAATTGATAATTCACCCCAAATTGCTTAACACGATTTTATCTCAGGAACTATAAGTGCAAATGAACTGAAATTTTCAGGGATTGTAGTCCTTTGAAAGGGATAAAATTCAGTGAAAGATTCAGCTTTCTATCTATAATAGAAAAAAAGTTATGACCTCTCAAAGTTTTCCAAAATCTAAATCATAAAGGGGGTACCTTCCCACTGAAATGATGAAATTTCAAATTTTTTTTGTCCAGATTTTGTATCCTAGTGGTTAATCAACATACCCCAAACTCCATACACTAAATTATTCTCAGATTTGAGGCCGAAATCTATGAAAAAAGGCACTCAGAAAAATTGAAAAATTGATAAATCACCCGAAATTGCTTAACACGATTTTATCTCAGGAACTATATGTGCAAATGAGCTGAAATTTTCAGGGATTGTAGTCCTTTGAAAAGGATAAAATTCAGTGAAAGATTCAGCTTTCTATCTATAATAGAAAAAAAGTTATGACCTTTCAAAATTTTCCAAAAACTAAATCTTAAGGTAGGGACCTTCTTACTGAAATGATGAAATTTCAATTTTTTTTTGTCGAGATTTTGTATCCTAGTGGTCAATCAACATACCCCAAAGTCCATACACTAAATTATTCTCAGATTTGAAGCCGAAATCTATGAAAAAAGGCACTCAGAAAAATTGATAAATCACCCCAAATTGCTTAACATGATTTTATCTCAGGAACTACAAATGCAAATCAGCTGAAATTGTCAGGGGTTGTAGTACTTTGAAAGGGATAAAATTCAGTGAAAGATTCAGCTTTCTATCTATAATAGAAAAAAAGTTATGACCTTTCAAAATTTTCCAAAATCTAAATCATAAGGTAGGGACCTTCTTACTGAAATGATGAAATTTCAAATTTTTTTTTGTCGAGATTTTGTATCCTAGTAGTCAATCAACATACCTCAAACTCTATACACTAAATTATTCTCAGATGTGAAGCCGAAGTCTATGAAAAAAGGCACTCAGAAAAATTGAAAAATTGATAAATCACCCCAAATTGCTTAACACGATTTTATCTCAGGAACTATAAATGCAAATCAGCTGATATTTTCAGGGATTGTAGTCCTTTGAAAAGGATAAAATTCAGTGAAAGATTCAGCTTTCTATCTATAATAGAAAAAAAGTTATGATCTTTCAAAGTTTTCCAAAATCTAATTCTTAAGGTAGGGACCTTCTTACTGAAATGATGAAATTTCAAATTTTTTTTTGTCGAGATTTTGTATCCTAGTGGTCAATCAACATACCCCAAACTCCATACACTAAATTATTCTCAGATTTGAAGCCGAAATCTATGAAAAAAGGCACTCAGAAAAATTGATAATTCACCCCAAATTGCTTAACACGATTTTATCTCAGGAACTATAAGTGCAAATGAACTGAAATTTTCAGGGATTGTAGTCCTTTGAAAGGGATAAAATTCAGTGAAAGATTCAGCTTTCTATCTATAATAGAAAAAAAGTTATGACCTCTCAAAGTTTTCCAAAATCTAAATCATAAAGGGGGTACCTTCCCACTGAAATGATGAAATTTCAAATTTTTTTTGTCCAGATTTTGTATCCTAGTGGTTAATCAACATACCCCAAACTCCATACACTAAATTATTCTCAGATTTGAGGCCGAAATCTATGAAAAAAGGCACTCAGAAAAATTGAAAAATTGATAAATCACCCGAAATTGCTTAACACGATTTTATCTCAGGAACTATATGTGCAAATGAGCTGAAATTTTCAGGGGTTGTAGTCCTTTGAAAGGGATCAAATTCAGTGAAAGATTCAGCTTTCTATCTATAATAGAAAAAAAGTTATGACCTTTCAAATTTTTCCAAAAAAATGATAAGGGGGGTAGGTGCGTTCTTACTGAAATGATGAAATTTCAAATTTTTTTTTGTCGATATTTTGTATCTCAATGGTCAATCAACATATTATGGGAAATTGGAGGAATGTATGTGAAATAGAGGGAATTCATTGATTTCAACACTGAGCGTAATATAAATACAAAAATACATTTCTTGTCCCGAACAATTTTGGGGATTTTTGTGGAACAGGTCTTTGCAGGGAGTTTGGAGGTATTTGCGAGTAGTTTGAATAATTGTTTGCCCAAATTCAATTCGGGAAGGGGGAGGGGGTGGTTTACCCTTTAGCTAGCAAATAGTTAGGTGAAATTCTTTTTGGCTCATAGAACGATATTTATAACACGCAATTTTGGTTATTTTTGTCTTGGTTTTTGCCTTCCAACGCCAAATTCACAACTTAGGAGTTAGAAATTAAAATACTAATCTGTCTCAAAGGATCCATTCGAGTTGTGAATTTTCGACTTTGGCATCTCTGAGGGCTAGAAACAGCTCTTACGAACAAGATGTGATTGGAAAATAAATCCAAATTTATATGGAGTCATTTTTCTGGTCTCAGCAGTATTATCCATCAATATGAAGAGAAGCATACCATTTGCAACTACATATTTTTGTTTGTGCCATTAACTACAAAAATTGGGCGTTACCACTAATAACGATTAACCAAGGACTTTTCCATACAAACAATAATATAACACAGACCCATAAACCAGATCACACCATATCAAACCTATTTATTGAAAATTACATGGTACTTTTCTATACGCATCCATGCACCCATTTTTTTGCTAAACGAAAAATTGATGTTTTTTAACGAGAAGCCTCACTAATAATACTTGGTCATTAGTCGCAAAATTTCGACACACACCGAGCCTTGATGGCCATACAATTATTAAATTGACATTCACTAACAATATTTTAATTGTTGTGCTACATTATTTAATATTATTGACTTTGACATTAATAAACATTACATTTAGGTAGGTAGGTACCTACTTCCCAGGAAGAAATCATACTCCCCTAATCCATCAAGCTTTAAATTCATCCTTATATTGGTACAGTTTTCTTAACAGCAATAATTGATTAATCGCCACACATGGAAAGTTCCTAAAAACTTAAAATCAATAAGTATTTCCATCGAGAATTTCCACAATTCCTATATAGTTGAAAAAATTCGCAAAACGCCTAAAAAGTACCTACTGAAATGACATTAAAATGCGCTATTTTCATTCTCTATCCGTTTAATTATTGAACTTTTGGTTCTTAGACTCAAGAAACTTATATGTATATGCGTAGGTACCATATCCTAATAAATGGAAACTGCAGGTATCTATTTATTAGAAGACTTATATAGTTCTGGTCCTTGAAACCCAAAAATGTTAGTTAAAAAGCAATTAAATATATGGGTCAGTTTAACACAAAGAAATTTCAATTTTGGTGTTAGGGACCTGCGAAACTATAAGCCCAGGTGTAAATTAAATCGTTAATGTTTGTTCTGCCTCAGGACAAGATATACGTCCTCTTATCGTTATTAATCTTTGCGCTTGATGGCCAAAGAACTAGGCGAATATTCACAAACTACATTGAATTTACAAGATTTTATTCAAACCAAGACTTTGACTCAGCCAGTTTGGTCTTTTGGTACAAATTGCTAATCCATAATAAATAACAGCTCAATGTGTTAGTGGGTACTTATTAATTACTCCTGTTTATAATCATTTACGTAAACCACCAAAAGAATAAGCCCCCCATAAAGATTCCTGCCATATATCTTCGCAAAAAAAAAACCGCTGTAATCCCGTAATTATTCGCACAATTAAGATCTAAAACCCATCAAGGTGTACGATCGCGCTCCATTGTTTCGTCCAACCGCGAAACATCACAGTGGTACCGTCAAAGTGTAGTGGTACTTTGCGCCATGCGTACGCCAATCCTGGCACTAGTGCTTTCCTCGGTCAGTTTTTGTTACGAAGGTCCATGGCAGCCGGTGGTGTACGATTATTATCACATAGATTTGAGTGAACTCGGTGGACATCCTCATTTTGAAGTGCCTCACCATCATGGAGGTAAAACTCCTATTCCAAGGGATGCGATTGTTGATGTTATTAATGAGTTGGGGATTAAATTACTTGCGGTAAGTATCTACTAGTAAGAAGTGCAATTTGTTAGATTTAGAATTTTGTTAGTTTGACTGAAACTCATTTTGATCTCAGAGAGTTGAGCTCATGGCAAATTAAAGACAAATATCGTTGATGGAGCTGCAAACCTTCCAAATTGTAATTTTTTCTAGCTGACATTTCAAGACTTTGAGTCCGGTGAAATTCGATTGTGTCGAAAATAATTGGATAATTCTAATGAGCTCTATATTAATTGAGTGTATCAAAATAAATAATAATGAACCGTTAATGCATATCATGTCGATGATCATCAAAGCCCCACATATTACGAAATTGACATTAGTCTCAGTTAGTAAAAAATAGCAGGAATAATTCATTTCCGGCCTGTAATATGCACAAAACGAAATTTGTCGCGTTTTGTTAAATAATATTTTCTGTTGATAGCAAAATTGGGCCTCAAAACGAATATCGAATTTAATAGGCCTCTGCGTCCAATTATATCTTTTTCTCAGGAAATAAATTATTTTTTTAATATTAACCTGAGAAATAGTCATTATTGAATATTGAATCTATTTTTCTAGGAAAAAATTGAATTTCTCTCCCTAGGTAAATAATGAAAATAATGAAAAAATACCTAGGTTATTAATAAAAATGACGTCATGACGCAAGGATATCGATATTGTCATGTTTTTATTGGTTCAATTTCAATGTCATACGTCAAATGAAAAAAAAAAAATACAGGTTTCTGCAGGTATATAGGAAGTTATCATAAGCTGTTCATAGAGGGCACCACTTTCAAGAGATTACAAATTATTCATTTTCCACTAGCAGTAGTAAAAAAAAATCTATATATTCCTTGGTAGAGAAAGTCATTATATACCTCACGCATCACGCATTATAAACCTCAACTATTTTAGGGGAGCCCTAACGATAAGTATTCCCTAAAATGACATTTTTACATGGAGAAATGTCAGTTTAAGGCATACCTATTGTTAGGGCTTCCCTAAAATAGTTGGTGGAAATAGCCATTAAAAAAATTAAGAAGAAAACGAAAATTCAAGATCCGAGAATAGACAAAATATGAGATGGAAAAATTGAAAAAAAATAAATAAATAAATATATACTAGATAATAATAATATTAATAATAATACCTGAGTAAACATCAAAAAATTTGCAAAAATATGGCGGCAGGGGCGTGGCTAACTTCTATATTCATATTCAAAATTTGCAATAATATGGCGGCGGTACCGAATTTCTATCTGAAAATAAGGTTAAGTCACTGTAGGTGGGCCGGGGCCATTGGAAAGGGTTGAAAAGAAAACAACCAATCAAATACCTTGACGATACATAAACTTCGGAAAGGGGCAGGGCTCAACTAACCAATTGAATGCCCTGCTGATATCACTCGCATTTGATTGGAAAGGGGCGGGGCTTATATCCAACCTATCAAATGCTTTGTTGATATCCTTGCGTTTGATAACGAGTCAGCCACAGTGTTGCCAGCTTGACGGAATTATCCCCTTTTTGCCTTTTTGAGGAAATTTTCTATTTTCGTTCGCAAAGGGTAGAAGCGGAATGTGGAATTTTTAAAGTCTGTTTTTTTTTTAAAGACATTAGGTTGGCAAAACAATGTTAAATTGTCGATGTTTTCAAATTTTTTATGTAGAGAAGGCTTGTGTTGCCAACATAGGTAATTAATAAATTTTTGACTTGGGGAATTATCTTAAAAAAAAAACAGACTTTACTTTTTCTTTTATTTAGTAGCAAAATTTTCATATTCAATGAAAAATTAGTAATTTTAAGTTTCTAGCACACGATATACAATAGGTATACAGGGTGGGCCATTGAACTTAAGACATTATTGAACTTTTTTTTTTCAAAAGCGCGCCATTTTCGAGATATTGAAATGTCTTAATTTAAATGGACCACCCTGTAAGTAAGTATGGGTACAACATCTCATTCCCGACTGTAAGTGAAGGCGCAATAATTGTTTTTTTCCACTACCGCGCGTGAAGAACTTACTTTACGCACCTTTTTTAGGAAGACATAAAATGTCACGCACCAGTGCGTAAAGTAGTTTTTTTACTACTAACCTGAGAAATAGACATTATTCAATCTATTTTTCTAAGAAAAAATTGAATTTCTCTCCCTAGGTTAATAATGAAAATAATGAAAAAATACCTAGGTCAATAATGAAAATGACGTCATGACGCAAGGATATTGTCATGTTTCTATTAGTTCAATTTCAATTTCATACGTCAATTTGAAAAAAAATACAGGTTTCTGTAGGTACATAGGAAGTTATATGAGCTGTTAATAGAGGGCAGCACTCTCAAGAGGGCGTTCACAAAAAATAATTAGAACACAGATTTTAAACAAATTTTTTATTTTTTACTAGCAGTAGTAAAAAAAAATCTATATATTCCTCGGTAGAGAAAGTCATTATATACCTCAAGCATTATAAACCTCGGCGCTGCGCGCCTCGGTTTATAAAAGCTTTCGGTATATAATGACTAACTTCTCTACCTAGTTATATAATATACTATTTTGTACTACTAACCTGAGAAGTAGTCATTATTCCATCATTTTTTCTGGGAAAAAAATTGAATTTCTCTCCCTAGGTTAATAATGAAAATAATGAAAAAATACCTAAGTCAATAATGAAAATGACGTCATGATGCAAGGATATTGTCATAACGTAACAGGTTTCTATTGGTCTAATTTCAGTGTCAAACTGTCAATTTAAAAAAAAAGCAGGTTCCTGTATGTACCATCGTCACCAAAAGTATCTGGGACACAAATAAGGCATAATAATCTCCTCGACTAATTCTACTGTCATTCATTTCAATGCATTTAATTCCTAGTTTGACAAATATTTGACATAAAATTCATATAATAGGACAAGGGCTAATGTGATGCTGTCCCAGCTACTTTTGGTGACGATGGTACATTATAGGAAATTACCGTAAGCTGTTGATAGAGAGCAGGACTTCCGAGAAGAGAAAATAATTTGAGCACAGGTTTCAAACCCAGTGTTACCAACTAGTTCTAGTGAATTTGAAAGTCGTCTGGTTTTAGCAAATTCCACTGTAGTGGTAATTTCAATGGGAATGGGATGGGATCCACGGTTTCTAGTGAATTTTTAGCTCGATGATTTTCAGTGATACTTCGCTTCCATTAGTTGCGATAATTTGTATAGGATTTCTGTTAATTTACAGAAGGCAGCATATTTTCAAGGATGATACACACCTACGTCACCTACAGGATTGCTTATCGGCATCGTTTTTGGTAATCGCCGCCATATTGTTGTGTCACCCATTTCGATGTCATAATTAAGTCGTCAGCTGTTTAAACAGCCTACTTCAAGATGAGAAATAACCTGTTGCCTACGTCAAAACTGGTGATTTGGCGAGCAGGGTTGGACGAACTTTCGGAAGTGGGCCGGGAAATTTTAGTCCAGCGGCCCATACAATCATTAATTCATAGGCCACATCACATCATCACCCCTAGATGTGATCTAAAAATATTTAGGCTCAATAGACACTTTAAGCAAATTCTAAATTTTTCCACGTATTCGTATCCGCATCCGTAAACGCATCGACTTACGTTGACCGCCTAAAAGTCCTTTTAAGCATGGCCATACAATACGTAAACGATCGTATCCTTAGATGAAACGAATTCAAATTTTGAATATTCCCAACTCATGATTGGTTTAGAAATTGAATTTTTAATCCTTCCTCTTGATTGGCTTCAAATTTTAAATATTCCCGGCCCTTGATTGGCTTAGAAATTCAAATTTTAAATATTCCCAGCTCTCGATTGGTTTTCAAAAACAATTTTCGAATTTTCCCCACTTTCTTGGGTTTAAAATTCAAATTTTGATTACTCTTGGCTCTTGATTGGCTCTGAAATTCAAATTTTCAATATTCCTTGCTCATGATTGGTTTAGAAATTGAATTTTTGATTATTACCGGCTTTTGGTTGGCTTAAAAATTCAAATTTTGATTATTCCCGGCTCTTGTGATTGGCTCCGAAATTCAATTTTTGAATTTTCCCGGCTCCTGATTGGGTTTAAAATTCACATTCTGAATATTTCTGGCTCTTGATTGGCTCTGAAATTCATATTTTAAATATTCCCGACTCATGAAACCAATCATGAGAAACTAAATTTTTGATTATTCCCGGCTTTTGATTGGCTTCAAATTTTGAATATTTCTGGCTCTTGATTGACTTTCCAAAATAATTTTTTGAATTTTCTCGGCTCTTGATTGGCTTCATATTTTGAATATTCTCGGCTCTTGATTGGCTTAGAAATTCAAATCTTAAATATTCCCAGTTCTTGATTGGCTTCCAAAGTCAATTTTTGAATTTTCCTGGCTCTTGATTGGGTTTAAAATTTAAATTTTAATTATTCTCGGCTCTTGATCGGGTTTAAAATTTGAATTTCTTACGGCTATTGCCACCGCTATAACTTAAGGGATATTTGATACAAGTGGAGCTTTGAATATGACTCTTGTAGAAACAAAAGTCACATTCAAAGCTCTACTTAGATTAAATATCCCTTAAGTGATAGTCGTGCAAATAGCTCTTAGCCAATCAAGAGCTGGGAATATTCACAATTTGAATTTCTAATCCAATCAAGAGTCGGGATTATTCAAAATTTGAAGCCAATCAAAAGCCGGGAATAATCAAAAATTCAATTTTTAAACTAATCATGAGCCGGGAATATTCAAAATTTGGATTTCAGAACCAATCAAGAGCCAGGAATATTCGAAATTTAAATTTCTAAGCCAATCAAGAGTCGGGAAAATTCAAAAATTAATTTTGGAAGTTAATCAATAGCCGGGAATATTCAAAATTTGAATTTCAGAGCCAAACAAGAGCCAGGAATAATCAAAATTTGAATTTTAAACCCAATCAAGAACCGAGAAAATTCAAAAATTGACTTTGGAAGCGAATCAAGAGCCGGGAATATTTGAAATTTCAATTTCCAAACTATTCAAGAGTCGGGAATATTCAAAATTTGAAGCCAATCAAGAGCCGGGAAAAATCAAAAATTCAGTTTCTAAACCAATCATGAGCTGGGAATGTTCGAAATTTGAATTTTAAATCTAATCAAGAGCCAGGAAAATTCAAAAATTGACTTTGGAAGCGAATCAAGAGCCGGGAATATTTGCAATTTGAATTTCTAAACCAATCAAGAGCCGGGAATATTCAAAATTTGAAGCCAATCAAGAGCCGGGAATAATCAAAAATTCAGTTTCTAAACCAATCATGAGCCGGGAATGTTTAAAATTTGAATTTTAAACCCAATCAAGAGCCGGGAACATTCAAAAATTAACTTTGGAAGCCAATCAAGAGCTGGGAATATTCAAAATTTGAATTTCTAAGCCAACCAAGACCCAGGAATGATTAAAAATTGAATTTCTAAACCATTCAAAAGCCGGGAATAATCAAAATTCAAATTCCCAAACCAATCAAAAGCCGGGAAAATGTAAAATTCGAATTCCAAACCCAACGGGAAACTAAAATTTTTTTTTCAAATGTTGCTACAAACGAATTCAATACATTTTCATATAACAAGTGTTGCGACATAAAATCTTACCCTAAAAACCCACTAAAAAAACTACCCCCAAAACGACTTGTTGCTACACTTTCGCTCGTGTTGCTACTTTTTCTTATGTTGCTACAAAAGTTCATTGAAATCTTGCTCTAAACCTACTAAAAACTACTCCCAACGATTGTGTTGCTACACTTTTTTTTTCGTGCTGCTACATAAGAAATTCAACAAACTCTTGACCTGAGCAAACTATCCCACAAATGACTTGTTGCTACACAAAACGAGTGTTGCTACACTTTTACTCAAGACGTGTTGCTACATATCATGATCTTGTGCTGCTACACAAAGGAAGTGTTGCTACAAGAATAATTAATTTGCATCTTGCCCCAAATCTACTAACGACTTGTTGCTACAGCAAATCTAGTATTGTTACAAAAATATTGTGGCATGATTTACTTTACAAAGCGGCATCTCTTACGTTGCGTTTCCGGTGACATATTTGACGCAAATAAATCTAATGTGCGCATGCTTAGGACTTTTGTTACGTCTTTACGGTTACGTTACGTCCATTGTAAAATGGGCTTAACAAGGAGATCTCTCAATAGTGTCAAATGATTGAGATACGTTTCCGGATACGGATACGAGGCTAGGCCACTGATCTCAAAAATAAATGGATAAACAAAGAACGCTTCTAATGCTGCTAATTTACGAGGTCAAAATCTAAACAAAAACAACTGACTGGGACAACTGTGAGCGTGCGCAGTAGATACATGTATTGTGCGTGCACAAAATCTGGCCAATGAAAATGAAGGAATTTCAAAATTTAGAACAGTTGTTCGAAAGATAAGACACTGCGCAGGCGTTAGGCTGTTCCGTTGCACAACTGTTCGTAGAATATTGACCCCAATTTTTCAAACAAATTTTGCCAATCAAGCCGTATGAATTGTTTATCCATTTATTTTTTAGATCAGTGGGCTAGTCCCGTAACGATACGGACAGCGCAACGCAACGAATCCACCGTATCTCTTCTGCGCATGCGCAGATCGATGCGAATACGGATACGTTTGAAATTCAAGACTTGCTTAAAGTGTCTATTAATCATTATCATCAACGCATCCAAATTCTCCATTGTGAGTCGATTCCTAGATTGATTTTTTACCTATTTAAGTGTTGAAAATTGAAAAGCATTTTTCGCACCCTACTTGTGTGCATGCTAAAGTGAGGACATACTGGTTTAGGCCCCAAAAATGACTGTAAGCACGGATGTGAAATCTGTATTTACCTATAGAAAACCAAACATTGTTTGCAGCGTAAATGTGGAGAACATTTGTTTTAGAAAGTTCTAATTCATTCCCTGTATCATCTTCATCTTTATCGTTCAATTCAGGGAGGTCATGCAGTTCCAGCGTCCTTCCCAAGTCAGTTACCTAATTTTATTCAAAGCATGGTCTCGCATTGATTAGAAAAAATTATTTGGATCCAAATATGAACAGCACAAATACCTCTATGCCTCGAAGATGCCTCTATTTTTTTGATGATGCGATTTATGGTCCATGGCCACATCGTGTACTATTCTACCTCAAATTTAGAAATAGCATTAACTTGAGGATTATCATCTCTGCTTCCTCCATTGAATTGATTATTGAATTGATTATTCCTGTACTTTCGCTCTGTTCGGATGACAGAAATCACAAATCAGTCAGAGCCAATTTCATTGGTTGAAAATAGTCAGAACTGTTTGTTGGCGATTTGCACCAATCAAAAACGCTCTGACTGATTTGTGATTTCTTCGAGAACAGAAGGCTTTATTGAGGTTGTTTGTTTGAAGGTATTTTGATAAAAGTTCTGTTGTTCTAAAGATCGGCCCACACTCCGATCGGCCCACCGGGGATTTCCCGGTATCCCGGTGGGTTCATCCAACCCTGCGAGGGGAGGATTTGTTAAAGAACACACAGACCTTATGAGGATAGGCCAGCCTGTAGTAGTAGTGTCGTAGTGTGTATCATCCTTGACATTTTTTTTTTGTGGGCTTTTCATATCGTAGGTATGTCAATATTGTCAATGATTCTTTCAGTTCAACTGTCAAAATTGTCTTTCAAACTTCAAGTCAAGCAAACCCGGCGTTCATGCTTCTATAAACATGCTGCTATAACATAATCTATAAGGGCCGATTTTTCAATAGCAGGTCACCCCCGGTTAGGATAACTCTAGGGTAAACATAGCAACTGGATACGCTTACCCTGGAGTTGAAACCAAACCGGAGGTTACTTGCTATTGGGAAACCGGCCCTAAGAAATAAAGAAAAGAAACTAACACAACATGGTAGATGATACAAAAATTTCAAAAAACAGTGGGAAAAATTTAGTAGATTTTCCACCAGTTTAAAAAAATTTCGCCTGCGGCGCCATTTTTTTTCTCTTAGTGGATTTTAGTAGATTTAAACCTCTTTTCTAGTGGACAGTCTAATTCAGAGTTGCCAACACTATTCAAACCTATTTTTTATTTTCTAGTAGACAGTAGTAAAAAAAAATTCTATATATTCCTCGGTAGAGAAAGTCATTATATGCCTTACGCATTATAAAACTCGGCGCTTCGCGCCTCGGTTAATAAAAGCGCTCGGTATATAATGACTAACTTCTCTACCTAGGTATACCGGGTGACAACGAGATCGTTATACAAGGTCATTCAGTTGTCTGTAAAGTTAAAAATTTGAAAATCAGGTGGAATGGGTAAATCATCGAGACGCATATTTTTCGTGAAAAAACAATTGAATATCACTTCCGGTTTCTCCGGAAATTGAACCAAGTCGAGAAATTTTTATGGAACCCTATATATTTTTCTACACAGTTCGATAGAGCTTGAAATTCCCTTTTCAATGACATATCACAAGTTGTATTTGTTTTCAAGATGGCGGCGAAAATAAGTGCTTTCTTAAATTCAATATGGCGGCATTCTGATGTAAACGATAAAGTTTCTGTTAAACAAACAGTTTAAATAATTCATAATTTTCGGACTTGGAATGGTTTTAGTTCGAATTTGGAAAAAAAAAATGGTTTTACTCAAATACAAGGGCATTTTAAAATTTCTTTGAAATGCAAATCTTTGATTCAAATTTATTAAAAATTCTGAATAGGAAAAGGTACTTATTAAATCCTAGAATTAAAGTGTGTCCAATGGCCTACCGAAAAATGTCTACTAAAATGCATATATTCATTTATCGGTTACGTCAGAATGCCGCCATATTGAATTTAAGAAAGCACTTATTTTCGCCGCCATCTTGAAAACAAATGGAGCTTGTGATATGTCATTGAAAAGGAAATTTTAAGCACTATCCAACAGTGAAAAAATATATATAGGGTTCCATAAAAATTTCTTGACCGGAAAAGATATTCAATTGTTTTTTTACGAAAAATATGCGTCTCGATGATTTACTCATTTCACCCTATTTTCAAATTTTTAACTTTAAAGACAACTGAATGACGCCTTATGTAACGATTTCGTTGTCACCTGGTATAGGTATAATAGTATAATGTACTATTTTATGTTCATTAAGCAAAAAAAAAACGAAGATTTACAATTATTAAATGCAAGGAATAATGCCTGATCAATTATAGTTTCCACTCATTTATACAATTAATAGCTAATAAATACTTGTCTTAAGTCTTTAGTCGCTAAATGTAAGGTCATATTATGAACCTTATGAAATGTTTTGCCCTTTTAATTACAATAGGGGCTTAGTATAGGTACCTACCAAAAAAAAAAATTCTCATTTGCCAAAATCATTTCATATATTATGAATAATTGGATCCACAATACACCCGCATATAATTGCCCATCAGTTTCATCATCCCATTGAAAATCTGAAATCATGCCTAATTGAATTTGTACTGTCTGTCGCAACAATAATTTTGTTCTAGATCCATAATGAGCGCAACGAAAACAACATAGCCATATCGCCTTATGGAGCTTTTAGCGTTCTAGCTGCCCTAACCGAAGGGCTCCAGGGCGATGCTGCACATGAAATTTTGCATGCAGCCCATATTCCTAAAGACAAACACGTTTTAAGGGTTGGTTTGAGAGATATTCACAGGCACTTGAAGGTATTGAGGACAATTTATAAGAAAACCTGTTTTCGGAAATTAAATTATTTCTAGAGCTACTTTATCCCCGAAGAAGGCTTTTTGGCTGGTTTGACTTTGAATTTGAATAATGTGACGCTCAAAAGTGAATATGAGGATGTTTTGCATTTTTATGGGTTCGATTATGCATCGTTTAATAATGCACTTTATCCAGAACCACCTACTACGAAAAAACCTGCTGAAAGTACTACACTTGAAACTGGATTGACTATATCAGAAGAGGGTACTCAACAATTTTTATGTCAAGAATCATTTACCAATTTATATTATTCCAGAGACAACTGTCACAATTACTGAGAAAACTAAGGAAATTTCAACTAGAGTAGGTGGATCATCGTCTGAGAGAACCATTGAAGACATTACAACCACAACAGAATTTCCAATCACCAGTGTATCATCTAGCTTACCAACTACAACAGGTAATACGAAGGCGAAACTAGCCCAAGGGGCTCTGGCCCGAGGGATATATTTCGCCTAGAGGGCATTATAATCTAAAAATCCCCGTGGTGCATACAATGCTTTATTTTCTACTCCACACAATGTTCTTTCATCAATTTAGTATCACATAAAATCAGTTAAACTTGTGTGACAGAATATTGTTTTGTATTTTGACATGTACCTGTACCTAGAAACGAAATAAATTAATATACCTATAAACATCTCATAAGGCAAGGCAATGGTGGTCATGTGGGTGCAAATTAATGAAACAACAACATTAAAAACACCTCAGGATATTATAAGCGGGCATTGTAGCTCATAACGCCCGCAAAAGCGGGCGTTGTGGATCATAACGTCCGCTGGGCTCATAATGCCCTCAGGTTGTTATAGGTATGTTAACGTATTCCGTTTCCTAGGTGTTATAAATCTATAATAGTTAAGTAGAAAATAAAAATCTTAATTGACAGGTTTGTAGAGAATTTAATTGGCTTAAATTAGAGCCTCATTGCGTTGAAATTGGATGAAAATTAAAGGAGATGTGAAGCAAAAACTGTCTCAGTGTCATTTCTCAAAAATTTTCAATGTTCGATAAATTTAATTTTGAGGCTTCTCAGGTGCAAAATTCATGAAACAAATATACAATTTTGTCTAGTTAAGTAAACACAAAATCCCTACAGAAACACAAAAACTACCTATCAGAATAACCCCCAAAAACCCAATAGAAATGTTCAAAACCCCGGTTTTTTTGCCAACTCTGTACCTACAATTTCAAACAATAGGAACACATTTCAGGTGAAACAACTACAACTCAACCTCAAGCAGCCACAACCACAGAATTATTTCCTACTCTGAAATCCATCACTACCACAAATGAACCATCAGAGACCACGACTGAAAAAAGCCCAGCTACTAGAACTTTCACAGCTACCACTACAACAACAATACCATCAACAGCCGCAACAGAAACCACAACAAAAATATCTGAAACAACAATACTAATCACTACACCAATAGAAACTACAACTAGAATTTCTGAAACAACAATAGAAACCACAACAAAAATTCCTGAAACAACAACACTAATCACTACACCAATAGAAACTACAACGAAAATTTCTGAAACAACTACACCAATAGAAACTGCAACAAAAATTCCTGAAACAACAACACTAATCACTACACCAATAGAAACTACAACAAAAACTCCTGAAACAACCACAATCATTACCACAACTGAAACTACCAAACCACCTGAAACAACTACAATAATGACAACGCCTCAAGATACTGAAACAACTACTACAACTAAACTTCCACCAACCACCACAGAAACTACAACTAGCCCAATACGCACTACAAGAGAAGTTACTACAATAAGCATGATGCCTGAATTAACTACTGAAGCGCCGGCAACTGACGACCAATTATTGGAAACTACAACTCCATTTTTCTTCGGAACAACTCCAGAGTTTCAAGAGACGCCTCAAAACGCAAACTATGACTTCAACTACAATAACTATGACGCCAACAATGTACCACCAGTTTACGATGAAAATAATAATGTTCCAGAAACTTTGGACAATTTCAAAAGGCAAACCAGATCTGTTGTGGACTATGTCATAGCCAGGTAAAGAAAGCATCTTATTAATAATAACTGTTACTAGATGAGCTTGTTTTAATAATTAAGATTCCATGATGGCAATCATCATTATGATGCAGTACCACCTCCAAGACCACAATACATCCCCCAAGAACCTCTCACGTTTGCAGTTTATGGCAAGTTTCGTGAGTCTGGCATCAATTTTATGAAATACGACACAGTTTTGCCGTATTTCTACGTGCAAAACCTCAACGCTATGGCCCTAAGTTTTCCACTGGATAGTTCAAAGTACTACTTGTTGCTGTTGCTGCCAGTAGGAGACAATGGAGTCGATCAGTTGATTTGCGATTTAAGGTTGCACGGAAATCTTCGGTATATTATCGATAATTTAAAATTGACGCATGTGGTGGCTACCATACCCAGTTTTATGCTTAAGGGATATGTAACTTTGACACCAGCATTGCAAAGGGTAAAAAAATAATTGTAGAATGATTTTTGATAATTATTAATGCAATTAATATTCTAGCTTGGAATTCGTAAGATCTTTGAGCCACGTCAAGCGGATTTTAGTCCAATGACCAACGAAACCGATATTTATGTTACCAATATAGAACAAGCTGTAACAGTTACTATAAGAAATTATTTGGATCCATCTTCTCAACGTTATAGTAAGTAAACAACTATGTATTATGTGCAAGGTTGATTACGTCAGGTGCAATTAATGCAATTTAGTACAAATTTCAGCCAATTGTTCGGGAGTGCACCGTACCGTAATCGCAAGAAAATTCTTTTTTTTTTATTTGTAATCGTTTTATTTTCAGAGAATTTCCAACAGTATCCGCCAGTTTATTTTAAAGCGGATCATCCCTTTTTGTATTTCGTAATAGATTCTGAACTTCATGTAGCGCTAATGGTAGGTAAAGTAATTAATCCGCTTAATTCTAGAATTAGATGAGGATTTTTTTCTTGGATTGTATTATAGATAGAAGCCATATTGTACAAAATATAATAAAAGTTTTGAACAAATAATTGTTTCATTTTTTAGGAAAATTTCACACGAGCACGTTTCAATGTTTTGAATCCATTCTGTATTCTCTTGTTCTTCTCTCTATCTTCGGTCTTCCTCTTTTTGTGACATATCTTCGATATTTTTCATGAAGTCCACCAAAATTTGATCAATTTGCGATTCTTATCTTAATAGAGGACTACAATCTCTGAAAATTTCAGCTAATTTATTCTTACAGTTCCAGAAATAAAATCGCGTTAAGCAATTTGGGGTGAATTTACAGATTTTTTTCTAATTATAAGGGGACTGCTGGGTTTACGTCTACTTATTGGTGTATCAGAATGGCAAAAAAACTTCGGGATCTATATAATAATTAGGTGCTTTTTAGGTGCTAATTAGGGCCTCTAATTGAAAATTAGATGCTCCTTTAGTTTTTGAGAAAATCGAGAAAAACTAAGGGATTGCTAGGTTTATGAAAGCTAGTAGTCTCCTATAGTGAAAAATATTTTTCCAAAAATTTCTTTTGTATCAGAATTAGGTGCTTTTTAGGTGCTCCTAAATATGTAGTCGAAGAAAAAATAGAATTGATTAAGTATTAACTGTGTTACAGATTTTTTTCTAATTATAAGTGGACTGCTGGCTTTACGTCTACTTGTTGGTGTGTCAGAATGGTAAAAAAACTTCGGGATCTATATAATAATTAGGTGCTTTTTAGGTGCTAATTAGGGCCTCTAATTGAAAATTAGATGCTCCTTTAGTTTTTGAAAAAATCGAGAAAAACTAAGGGATTGCTAGGTTTATGAAAGCTAGTAGTCTCCTATAGTGAAAAATATTTTTCCAAAAATTTCTTTTGTATCAGAATTAGGTGCTTTTTAGGTGCTCCTAAATAGTCGAAGAAAAAATAGAATTGATTAATTATTAACTGAGTTACAGATAGGTACTAAACTCTCACAACGATTCCATATACCTACCTATGGTTCGAATACTTTTATCTCCACTCCAGAGCTTCCCGAATCTCTAATGAGTTCAACTTTTTCAGTACTCGTGAAGAATTTAAAAGAGAGCTTAAGTCCTTAAACCTCGCCTTAAACAAAGTTCCTGTACTAATAAATTGTTAATGTGATATTTAGTAATAAGAAATAATTTTATTGTAAGTAATGTTCGCCATCTTGTCATGTTGTTGAGTAGTCTTTTGTTTTTCTATTTTAATTCTTGTTGTCTTGTTGAGTTTTTATTTTTTTTCTGAAGTTTCAATAGGGTTCCACATTCATCTTTTTACAGGTGATTAATACTTTCTCTATCCACATTGTGTGAAGCTTATTCCCACATACTTTGTTTTTTATTCAATTAAGAAGTTACTGGAAGCCAGTTAAAATGCTACAGAACACTTTAGAACTTTAAATAAGCCTTTTGGAAGCTTGAAAATACCTAAAATTCAATTCAGAATTTCCAAAAGCATTCTGTAGCGTTTCAGAACAATTTGGGAACCTCAGAACCATTTTAGAAGTCTCCGAGAGGGCGACCACTCCCGAAAAATATGTACATGTATTGCGGAAATCCTATGATTTCCAAATGATTGCAGCGATTTCGGAGAATTTTTCAAAAAATTTGCGATTTCGGAGAATTGCGAGGCGATTTCAGTGACTGCAGAGACTGCAGGGGGGATTGCGAACTAATTTCTGAGATTGCTAGGTGATTTTTGGGATTGCAAATAAGTGATTTCTGGGATTGCAAATATGATTGCGGAACATATTTCATTCAATTTTTTCACTATCTTTTGAATTTTTATGATTTTAATTTTAGTTTTTCATTCATAAATTTATAGATAGGTATCTACAGGGACACCTGTTTTCGATGTTCTAATAGGCTATATCGAAAACCAGCAGTGCAGAGATATAAAAATGCAGGAGCACATTCTGGAGCTGTTTTCTAAGAAAATAAAAATGGCGAGGAGGACAAATCACAGCTAACTTGATATGTGTTAAGGAAATACAGGACAGTTTCCAAATTTTGTCCAATTTCAATAGGGTTTCTAATTTTTTTATTAATCAAGATGTCCAAAAACCAAAAATACTTTCTAGAAGCAGTTTCACAAGTAGAATCCAGTGGCATGACCAATTCGGTTTTCCAGATGTCTCCGATTTTGGAATATGTATTAACCAAAGTTGTGTTTTTTTTTTTTTTTCAATGGGATACCCCGTATATTATTTTTCCATTGCATAGCTCTTTTCAACTGATTCCAATGATATAAGGTTTTATAGCTTTACCGTCAATAGTTTTTAAGGAAAAAAATTAATTCCGTTTCTCCACAAGAAACAATGAGCTAGAAAGAGATAAGCCATGAAATAAATTATGTGTTGCTTATTTATCATTATATTATCACCCCCACTTCATAGTTCAAATTGAGAAAAAAAATAAAAAACCATACTTGTTGAAATGTTGAATTAAGAATAGAAATTTGTAGCCGATTCATATTTCAACTATCTCTTTCTAATTTATTGTTTATTATAAAGAAACGGAATTTATTTTTTCTCAAAAACTTTTGAAGGTAAAGTTATAAAACCTTATATCATTGAAATCAGCTCGAAAAGAGCTATGCAATGAAAAAATAATATACTGGGTGTCCCATTTAATAAAATACAATTTAACATCAGGGTTACTATTCCAAAATCAGTGGCATCTCGAAAAAAAAAAAAAAAAACTAGTCATGCCACTGGATTTTACTTGAAAAACAATTTAGCCGTGAGTTGTCTTCACCATTGTTATTTTCTCAAAAAAAAATCTCTGCTGGTTTTCGATATAGCCCATTAAAACATCGGAATGGGCCACCCTGTACAGGGTGTCAAGTTCAGTGGCGTATCCAGCCTGAGGTTCTGGGGGGGGCAAACCTGGTATATGTCCGCCGTAGGCGGAAATTTTTTTTGTATACAAAAGTCTTCAAAACCACAAAATCGAGTATTCGCTCGCTTCTCTCAATACTTTTGTAGGACAAAATATATAATATTTCCACAGAAAAATAAGGTAGTGCTAGGGTTCCGTAATATTAGCCTGCCAGCCACCACTGATCTACAGGGTGTTGAAATTTACATATAGTTTTTAGTTTTTTCTTTATAGCTCCTGCGGCTTTTGGGGATTTAAGCCCAAATTTGAAATATAGGCTACGCAATAGGAGCTAAATGATTGTACATTCCACAGAAAGATTGAATCATAAAGGTACCTTTTGCATTACCAGCTTTACCAGATAATTATTATTGCTTTTGAGGAAGATGGTTATTGTGTTTTTGGTGGTGTCGCCTTTTGACAAAGTCTGAGCCCTGATGAGTGATGATGGCTCAATGGTGAAAGCGCTAGGCAGCTAGTAATATACATTACCTACGCTGAATATAAAACTAGTATTTTGACTTTTATTCCCTGATTGTCAAGCACAGCGTACAACTGAACAGTTTCTATTTACAAAAAAGCGAGCAAAAAAGCTACCTGTTCATGTACTTGAAAAAAGTATTATTTATTAAATTAATTTCAGTACCTACATTTTTGAATTTATTTTTTTATGATTTGACAATTTTTTAAAAAATAAAGGGAATAAAAAGATGTTGCTCTGGGGGGGGGGGGGCAATTGCCCCCTTTGCCCCCCCCCTGGATACGCCAGTGGTCAAGTTATACCTAAAGTATCACCACCTGTAACTTTTTTATTTTTGATCCTACTTAAAAAAGTTATAGGTGGTGGTACTTTATAACTTGACACCCTGTACCGTGCGTTCAATTTATCTTGATAACATTTCAATACGCTGTAACTTTTTTGTTCTTGAAGATATCAAGGTAAACAAAAAAACAAAATGTGGGGTTAGTACTGTTAGTAGCCAGGTTTTTTTTCAAGTTAGATATAAAACAAAACACTATCAATTTTCTGACATATGAGCCTACATTATATTTTTTTAAATGGACCACCCTGTATATTATATATGTATTTAATAGAATATCTTATTCTGATTACAATGATATAACACACTTCATATTTTAGTCCACTCGTTTTTGACAAATCAGCAAAAATATGATGTTTTCATATACACTCTCAATAATTTCTCGACCCAAATATCAGACCGCCGCCTAATAAGTTTCAGTTCAAAAGTTTCATATATATTTGCTGATTTCTCAAAAACGAGTGGACTAAAATATGAAGTGTGTTATATCATTGTAATCAGAATAAGATATTCTAACAAATACATATATAATATATAGGGTGTTCCATTTAACAAAATATAATGTAAGCTCATATTATGTCAGAAAATTGATAGTTTTTTGTTTTATAGGTAACTTGAACAAAAACTTGGCTACTAACCCTACAATTTTCAAGGTATAGAGTATACCACACGAGATCTGCTCAGAATTTTACCACAGCAGATGCAAAAACAAACAGCAGGTTAACTCTTACGCGCATCTCTTCTGCGCACGCCGCCATTCAAGGATACAGACCTCGAATTAGCCTGCTGATTGTTTTTATATATGCTGCAATTTTAGTACAGGGTAGGTGGTGCACCACAGAGGTGCAACCCCCACCACACATATCAAATGTGGGAAGGAAAGGGATAAAAAAGCGACAAGAAGGCAAGCAGAAGCAAGGAAGCCTGAGCCGAAGCTGCCGGCTGCCGCCATTTTTAATGTTTGCATTTTTGGGCATTTAGTTTCGTACGTGTTTGGGTTCTGTGCGTGTTTTCGGTTTCACTGGAAGAATAATGAGTTCCAAAGGGTAAGTGACTGATAATTATCAAATATTAGTTACGGGTTAATCCAAACTATTTCGTTCTGCGCTGTATGTGGTGCTTGTAGGTGGTAATGCATGCGTGGTGGGTGTGTTTGTGTTTTCACTGTTTATTTAACGAAATTCTACAAAATCGTTTCAATTTTTTTAGGGCCTATTCGACAAGATATTATTGCAAAATAAGTTCACTTTATTAGATGAACCTTTTTCCCTATAGGTACCCATAGAGTAGGTACCCGACGAAGCTGCCAAATTTGAAATC